AGAATATTGAAAAGTAAGATTCCCTAATTTATTCTTCTTTCCTTTTTATTTACCTCCTCTTTCACCCTCTCTACACTTTCATTAATATTTAATATTTAATATTCTTTAATATTTAAACATAAAGTATAGAGTCGCGAATAAAATTCTATTCTTTTCACTTAACTTTTTACTTCATTTTTATTATTCTTATAAAAATATTTATTATTCATTTAACTTTTTGCTTCATTTTTATTATTCTTATATTTGATCTTTTAAAATAACGTTATTTTCCGCGTTTTTTCGCGAGATTTTGTTTTAATTTGTATCTATCAACTTTTTAAAAAATAAAAGTAGAGTCATTCGCGATTTCGCGGTTTTCGCGTCATATTTCAGCAACGGGGCCACCGGTAAGTTAAACGTGGTCCCGCGTCGTGGGACTACGATCATCTCGTCGTGGGCGCGCACCCTTCGCATCGTGGGACAGTAAAGGTAGGTTCCTGATTGCTACGTGGGATTGGAGTTGAAGATACATCGATGGACGACGAGGGACTACGCGCAACGGTACGTTATTATAAATAATTTATTCTTCTCTCATAAAAAGCACCTCATTGTTAGGTTGCTTTTTTATATATACTATCTTTAAATTTGTATTATAATTTACACACAAGCAAATTACGATTTTTAGAGGTATATGCCTAATAAATTTTAAATATAGAGTTAAATTATTCTGAAACGGTTTCTTTTTTATAATAATCTGGAAAAAAAATCCTTCATATATGGACATATCCTATATCTAATGATGTTTAATTAGATACAATGATATATGAGATCTTCTCTATCTCATATAGAATTATTATGTATACCTAGATATAGAATTTGAGCATATATAAAGGAAAAATAATATAATTTAGAATTAAAGAATCGATTATGTTTTTCATATCTCTACCATGAAAATTTTTGAGAAGAATAAATTATTCTGCATGAGTAGTAATCGCACTGATTTTTCAATATATTGTCACTCCGTATAATCCTGTAATTCCAAAACGCAAATTTTAGAGGAGAGCAGTTTTTAAAAGTTTAAAGTTTCATATAGTTTCCCTAGTTAAGGGATCTTTCGGTTTCAAATTTTTACTCTTATAAATATTTTTTTTAATATTTGGTGACCATAAAGAACATGACTTTCTTACTATGCAATAAACTGAAAATCCGGTATGTGACACTTATGTAATTATACGTAGAGAGTGACGATATATTTTTTTTTGATAAAATGTCTATATATTTGTATATAATATTTTTTATATATGTGCTTTTTTTTATTTATTTATTTTTTTTTAATATATATGTATCTATATTTTCTACTTTCATATTTCTATATCACTTTCTCTTAAAGAACCGATATAGAATTAATTTTTGAAACTTGTGTTTTTTTATATATCACTTTTCTATATCATTTTTCTATATCACTTTCTCTTAAAGAATCGATATAGAATTTTTTTTCGAGACTTCTATATCACTTTCTCTTAAAGAACCGATATAGAATTGTTTTTTGGAGGCTTATGCTTCTTATATTTATTCTCTACATTTATTCTCTTCTAGTTTATCTTTCCAAAAATATATATTTAAATATATATTTGAAATATATGTATTTAAATATATATTTGTTCTTTTCTTTTATATTCTATCTCATCTATTTACATATGGTACGCTTTTATCGGGTGGGTATATATACTCTCTTTAAATCATAAAATATAAAAACTCGGAACGGGAAACTAAAATATATCTAAAATACTACTTAGTATTTTTAAAACAATTGTCCCCTTCGCGTAAAATATTGATAGGTTTTAAAAACTTTCTAAAAATATGTAGGTAGGGATCTACGATATTGATAGGTTTTAAATCTTTCTAAAACAATGTAGGCGCTTGTAGAAAATATGTTAGACCGGATAGGTAGGAAATTTTTTAAATCAAGTAGGTAGGAAATGTATTAGACCGCGGATATAGGTAGGAATAAACATGTAAGATTAGGATCAAGGCATGTGCCATGCAGCCTTAATCCTGATTAACAAGGCTAGTAATGTTTAAGATAGATGTTTAGGATAGGATATAGCAGGTTTAAAAATTAGGAAAAATGCAAATGCACTGATTAATATGAATCACTGCATATGCATGTAAATGTAAGATTGAATTTCGTTTATGTAAGGTAAGGTTACATTTATTGTATGTAAAAACTATATATAAAAGACTGCAATAATAAGAATTATAAAACATCAGTAAATGAAATTTATATCGAGAATTTAATGTGCGATGGAATATAGCATACAATAAGTGTAATTTTGCCAGAAATATTGCCATGTGTGGTTCGTATTTATTATGTATGTACTTTATTGTAAAATTATCGATATATATGTAAAAAACTTGTAAAATTGTAAAACTCAAAAATTGTAACACACTTTGATAAATTGTAATACACCAGTAAAAGATATATTTTTTGAAAATGCAACTTTTCAGACACACATATATTTGTNTGCCGTCAAACCAATTTTAAATAATGTACGTATTTTATTATTTTTACTTTGTAATGTAACTATATATATATATATATGTAGCGTTTGTAAAAAAATAAAAGCAAATAGCAGCAAATGATGATAAAGGAGATGGTACCTGAGTACACTCTACGAATTCTGATGCTGCTCGCTTAAAAATATTCCTTTGTTGACAATTACGTGTATGTTGTGTGGGAAGTTGCATATTTGTATATTTTCCATTCCTTCCTGTTCTCCTTCCTGAGTTCACAAATCGGCTATTTTAATTCTTGAAATAAATCAAATTACCGCTTTTGAATATACTCACACACTGAAAGAAAGTGACCATTTAAACTCGTGCACATAGCACAGAATAGAACCGCACGCTGTGGACATAGCGCACCAAAATGTCGTTCGTGGACTGGATGCGTAGTTTCAATGTGTACCACTCGTGGACATGCGCTAGTTTACGGGGCGGAAAAGTGATTACACATTCTCTTATGGACCTGATCGTTCTCAGGCTTTTCTCTGGTAATCAGTCATTATCAAAATCATCGTCAGTGGTCGGAACCTCCAACGTCACGAACCAACTCGTTGAATGAAAATGCTACTTTACCGATTGATTGATCGATCTTCTGTAACGCTCGCGTATCGATTCCGAATTTCGAGAATCGATCGATTTCGATCTATCGCGCGTCTTCGATAAGCAACCACGTGGGGCGCAGTTGTGGCCGACGCGCGACGCGGAGATTTTCGTTCGACTCGTTTCTGCATTTCTCGTGATTTTTGTCGTTTCACGGCCCATAAGAATTGTTACAATTGCTTTTCCGCTACAGTGAAATAAAAAGGGTATAGTAACTATTAGACAACATTAAACCTTAACAGTAGTTGCCAATGTACATCACCCGTGGACATGCGCTAGCTGACGGGCGATCGTAAAAACTCTTGTTGGACTTGCCGCTCTCAGTCTTCTTTCTGCTGATAGTGAGTGGTTACAATGGATGTTGCCATTATGTAAGAAGATATGATATTCCTGAGATGCGCAGTATTCGATCAATCAAGGAGATGTCTCAAATAGGAAAAGCAACTACTTCCTCGATGTGCTAACAGATGTTGTTAGCTGTTAAGTCGTTTATTTAATAAATGATATTCGATTCTTAACACGTGAAAATAACGTGACTGTAATTTATATTATATATACATTAAATAATACATAGTATACATATAATTTAGTATATATTTAAAATAATATACTTTATATTGTATTATATGTATTATATACATACTACAGTAAAGTCACTGACCTCGTCCGCGCAGGTTTGGCGGGTCACTGACCTCGGCCGCGCGACCTTGGAGGGGGAGGGTCACTGACCTCGGTCTCGTGACCGCGGCGGGATCATTGACCTCGGCCGCAAAAAAAAGTAGTAACAGTGCGTAAGTAATTCCAAAATATTTTGAGTAATATTTATGTATTTTAGGTATAATCGATTTAATTTTTTAAGAATTTTAAAAGTCAGTAATTTAATATTAACACATGTAGCACGAAGGTGGCACATTTAGTTTTATTTTATAATTAGCGATATTATTTAATAATATAATTTAAGTATTGTATTTAATAATAATATACAATATATGAAATATATATGAAATATATATGATATTAAATATCGGTAAAACTTTAGATATAACTTTATTGCTGATAAAATTGCACACGTAATGTTTGTGTTTACTGCAGCGCTGCTTTTCGAAGCGCTATTATATATTTGTAAGTTGCGCATCAGAGGGAAACGTACAAACATACACAGACGTGATCTATATGTGCAAAGAGATCTAATTATATGATTCTCTTATATGACTTATAGAATTCTAAATATAAGTGCACACAATTCTCGCACTTTTGTATTTATTAATATCTTTCTCTCTCTCTCTCTCTCTGTCTCTCGAAATATTTACAGATAGCAAAGTGAGAAGGAAAGTGGGAAAAGAAGATGGAAAACACACAAAGCACTTCTGCGCCTCGCAAAACAAAACTCTCATTGGATCTTCGTGGTAGCGCGTTGGCATGACAACGGAACGCACGGAACGCGGACTGATGTTTCGCGTTTCGCTGTTCCGGGCAGCAGCTGCGACTGTCAGCTGTTCAATATGGAATGATAGCAAAGTGCAGTCACTTGTAGGAGTCGGTCGTTGTGCGATATACGCGAACAATCCGGCCAGCGAGCGAGACATCGAGTTCTTCTCGTATCAGCTGGCGCGCAAGAGTGGATACGAGTGCGAGAACGTATCCGTTGGACTGGGGAACAAAGACGAGGACAAAGAAACGTAGTTGTCGATTGGTTGCTGTGCGAGCGGGTCCGTAGAAGAGCGTTTCGTACGCGCGCTACAATCGTGCGAGGTTTTTATGCGAGATCTCACGTCGGATCAACCTGGATGTATTAACGCAAGGGCTAAAATACGGCATATCAGGACTAATGAACCTCGCAACAAATCAGACGTCCGACACGACGTCCGAGGCGCAGAGTAATGGTCCCTACTTCGTTAATTTCAATCAAGACTGCACGTAAGTTTAATCGTTTCTCCCCTACCTCCTCTATACGCATATGTTCGCCCGCGCGCGCGACGTTCACCTTTTTGTTTCCCCTAACCTGAACCTCGCCCGTTTTTTTTTTTTTTATTTTTTTTATATCCCGTCGTCGTGATTGCCACGCGTGATCCTCCCTTTTTCGTATCTCCTCACGACAAGAGATTGCAAATCGCGCATGGCGTACGCATCGCGCGTCGCGCTCCATGTTTTCCTCACGCGACGAATATTTTTGTGTTACGTTATGCCTGCGTCATTCACTCGGCTCCCCCTTTCACCGATTAATTGCGTGTTAACGAGTGTCCCGGGCACGTCCGCAGCGCGCGGTGACACTCGATTGTGCCGTAACACGGACGAGAAGAAAGAGATATTACGCGCCTTTCGCGAACACGCACGTATCGCTCTGTGCGTGTTGCCTCTCTACCTGGCCTTTCTACTCACCTTGCTTTATCCAAGGACTCACTTTGTACTTCTGTCTGTCGCACGACATTGCATATCGTTTGCGACAGCTCCATTATCTTTATTTCGCACATCGTACGATGTTGTAATCAGGATAATAAAGAAAAAGAAAAAAAATACACATAGTAATCAAAGAATATTGCTCAAACACAATTGTTACATAGTTCTTTAAATATTAATAGTACAAGAGAGAAAGAGAGAGAGAGAGAGAGAGAAAAAGAAGTGTTTTTGTTTATATGACTGTTTGATAAATATTTATTGAACCAAATAAATCACATCGTATCTTTCAGATCCTTGGCTGTGGGATCGAAGTCAGGATATAAACTTTATTCCATTAGTTCTGCTGGGCATCTTGAAAAAATATATGAAAATGGTAATATACTTGCAAAAACTTATATACAAAATTATGTTCAAAAGTTTTTACATTGTAATAGTACAAAGAGAAAAAATGTTATAAATACCTTTGATGTTTCTGGAAGAACTTCTTATGTTATTAATTAAACTCTCCCTTTTCTTTTTTGGAGATGATACAGATTTAGAGGATATATGTATTGTTGAGCGGTTGTTTAGCAGCAGTTTGGTGGCAATTGTTAGTCTTAAATCTCCCCGTACACTTACGGTATGCCACTTTAGGAAAGGAACAGAAATATGCAACTACAGCTACTCAAACACAATTTTGGCTGTAAAACTTAACAGAGCGGTAAATTGTTGAGTTTACACTCTTGAATTAATAAATTAGTTATTATGTGATGACGTATAATTAAAAAGATTACATCTTTTATTTGCAGCGACTAGTGGTATGTCTGGAAGAATCCTTGTACATTCATAACATACGGGATATGAGAGTGTTGCACACAATTCGTGAGACCCCACCTAATCTTACAGGCCTTTGTACACTTTCTCCAAATAGTGACCAGTGTTTCTTAGCTTATCCAGGATCCAATACAACTGGAGAAGTTCAAATATTTGACGCGGTTCATCTTGTATGTAATATCAATTATATACATTTGCAATCAGATCTGAGTAATTAGTACAAAATACTCTTTTTTTTTTTTTATACTTGAACAGCAAGCCAAAACAATAATACCCGCGCATGATAGTCCATTGGCCGCGATCGCTTTTAGCTCAACCGGCACGAAACTAGCAACAGCCTCTGAAAAGGGCACTGTGATTAGAGTGTTTGATGTAAGACAAACAACAATACAATAACGTGACTGCACTTATTTACGAATTGCCGAAACATATTTGATATCTTTGTAGGTTAATGAAGGTACACGGTTATTCGAATTTCGACGCGGAGTCAAGAGATGCGTCACGATAAACAGTCTTTCATTTAGCACGGATTCCATGTGGCTATGTTGTTCTAGTAATACGGAAACTGTGCATATATTCAAATTAGAAGTACCAAAAGAAACGTACGTATTATTTGTTGCCTGTCCGTTTACTTTCGTAATGAATTATTGTTTTGTTAAAAATGAGAATAAAAAACCAGAATTATCAGAGATACCATTACTTATATATAACTGTAGGCAACAAACAACGGATGAAGGACAAGGTTGGATAGGATATTTCGCAAAGGCTGTGACTGTATCGGCTACATACTTGCCGTCGCAAGTGACTGATGTTTTTACTCAAGGACGCGCTTTTGCTAGCGTCCATTTACCGTTTCAAGGGTTGAAAAATGTCTGTGCCATCACTGTGTAAGCAAAAATTTACTTTTAGATCTGTGTATATCGTTGCGCGCGTACCGAATCTGCATTAAATGTCAAACAAGCGTCACATGAATTTCTTGCCGACATTTTAGAACACACAAAGTACCAAAACTGTTAGTGGCTAGTGCCGATGGTTACCTGTACGTCTACTCTGTGGACTTATCGGAAAGTGGGAATTGTACTCTTATAAAACAGCATAGGTTTGTATAATATTTTTTCTATTTTCATCAAGATCGAATTTTGCAATAACGAATATAAATTTATAATATAGCACGTAATCTAAAATGTACAGAATTGTGGATGCAAAAAAATCTTAAGAATTTCAAACAATTTTCAGAGAAAGTTTTTGTTTTAACAAAGTCTGTACAAGGTAAAAATAAAAAAGTCTTTACTTTCTACAGATTAGATGATAAGGAGCGAGATGAGGCGGATTGTGGTGGTTCCGGCTCCGGGGCGGCAGCTGCAAATAGTACAAACACAGGTATGACGAAGCCGTACTGGATTCTTCACTTTTACGTATTTTGATTAAACAATGAAGCGAGTTGACGATAAAGATACATTACTGACAGAGTTTGATAAAAAGAAAAAAAAATGGAAAAACATTACTAATGCTACAAAACTTCTGTTTTGTCTGTCCATTATCGGATGCTTGAGTGTTTATAAAGTTCCTTTTGTCTACTTTGTTTAGAGAGTTGCACTTTTTGTGATATTCGCGATGAGTTTTGCAAGTATTCAAACACTAACAGAGTAGATCAAGTATCTCCTTCTTTGTTTAAGGCGTATCGCACACACATATACACGATTGGTTGGTACAGACGAGTGCTCGGATATTTTTCATCGACAAAGAATAAATGTATCAAAACGCAAAGAGAGAGAGAGAGAGGAGAAAGTGAAGAAAAAAAGAAAACATTTTTTCTTCCAAAAATTGATTGATTTTAGTCGCAGTTGTCTTCGGTAATCTAGTTTTTTTTTCTTTTTTTACATCGCAACTAAAGATCTGTCGGTTTCAATGACGATATATATATCTGCAACTTATATTTTTTAATAATTTTGTTTTTAATAACAAAGAGTCGAACAGATAAGAAAACAGCGAAATACGTCTTTACAGATGTAAAGACGGATTTGTTTTGTCGCATAGTAGATGGAAGCGCTATTTGATTGTATTTTGTAGAAAAATTCCGCTGTAGCATCCAACAAAGACAATCCCAGTATCAGCTCTTGGCGTACTGCTCCTATCTTAGGCACCGTGCGTGTATATGCGTGTGCGCGCGCCGCGCGTTCAGAATCTTTTTTACTTTCTTTTACAATTTGCTTCGCGTCTTTTCTTTTTCTCGCTTCTAGTCCCCTCTTTACAAACGAAAAAGCCAGACAGTTTCTTTATAGAAAGGGGTTGGGAGGGAGGGAGGGGTGGGGCGCCAATAGTTGACCTTACTTGATGTAATTTTTTTCTTTTTAATATCCACCGAAGCCTGCATAAATAGCTACGCGGGTGTGTTGCGTGGCCGCTCGCCAGACTCCATGTCAGGTACTGGTATGTCCTCTATTCTGTCCCTCGATTTTTTTTTCGCTCTCATTCTCCGTACACGAAACATCTAATATCTTTTCTTTCTGTAGAAATTCTCTTTCCTCCTCTACTTTCTCTTTCTCTTTTTTTATATTTTTTTATATTTTTTTCTTACGTACCTCATCACTAATGTTCGCGCTTTTTTTGTCATATAATATATATAATACATACACGCAGCCGAAGGAAGAATGAGAGCAAACGCTGAGTAACAATGTGCCTTTTACACGCGAATCTACACATTCCTGTTAATACGATTTTTGTATTGTTATGTTACACCACACAAAAAGAGAAAAAAAAACGACAGTACAAATTCTCTTCTATCATGCTTATTAACTGCGAATTAAACAAACGTGTAGGAACAATGTACATACATATATATATATATATATACAATATATATATATATATATATAAATATATATATACATATACATATATATATATTTATATATGAAACATATGATACATGTCGCACAAAAAAAAAACATGCACGTAGGCACTGTATCCTCAAGGTGAAGCACCACCATGCACGTGTGCAAATTCTGTATCGCTAGTCAGAAACAACATCTTTAGCATCCTAGTATTTAAACGTTACTAAAAGTCATGCGAATTCCCGTGAGGAATATACGTACTTTGTGTTTTTTTTTTTTTTTTCTTAGAAGACTGATTTGTAGATCTCCTACTAGAGTAACTTAAATGTTAACAATTGTACATATAGTGATTACTAACATCTGTCTAATGAAGAAACTGATAGTGTGACATTAATCAGCTACTCAGTGATATTACTCAACAATGGATAATGACATGGTGCACACGTTTGAGAAGAAAAACCAGTTATTTGTACCACTAATAATCCTCACAAAGAGCACATGTATGACGTGCTTCTGCATTATTCTTAAGTTCATTATCGAATAAGTAATTTATATAATATGAAAAAAAAAATATATATATATATACACGAAGAGAATTCGCACACAAAGTCAAATGCAGGTTGTAAAGAAATACGATCAATTTTTTATATAGAAAACATTAGAAAAGTAATATATCGGATATAGCAAATCTTATTACGCTAATTTTTGCTTTACTGTTTTAATGCTCAATTTTGTTTTTATATATTTATAAATGTTTTTAATTATTATACTCGCTTATATTTTGTATTGTTAGATGTCAAGAAAACTTGTATGATAAGAAAATGTGTAAATATTTTGTATAAAAAAAAAAAGAGAATAATATATCAAAAGCATACGTATACGATATTACATAAAACAAAATCCTAAAGTGATTTTTACTCAATAATAATTACATGAAGTGTACGCAGTTATATTTGTTGTAATATATTTTATCACCCAAATAACGCGTACGATAGAGTAACGTGATAGAAAACGAAAAATGCCTGCAATTGTCGATTTTGTTAAAGAGATCGTTATGTCATATCATGAATTCATTAGTGAATGTATCTCACGGCAATGTGACGTATACAATGGTTAATGAAATATATTCGCACTCGGATCGATAACATGTCCCCGGGTATTGAAAGTTTTTTTTTTTTTTTTTTTGAAAATTTGCTATCTGAGTCCTTCCAAAAGCTGTGCGAAAATAAATAGAATTCACACACGTCGAATATCCTCGGTCGGGACTGTATCTGAATGCAAAAATATATCATGTATCCATTGAATACCGATCGTGTCTGTATACATCTTTATCGTTATATCCGCTCAAGATAATATGATAAAGACGAAGTCTTGATAATCTGAATGTAAATGGATTTGTGTAGAATCAGAGAAGTATCAGGAGATGATAGCGGCGACTGAAAGCCCACCGAAAGGCGGCCCGTTCCGTCTGGACGATGATACCGAATTTCCGCCTGTCACACAAAGGACAGACTGAGCGTATAACACGTACACACACACATTTTTAAAGGCATATCAAAAGCTCAAGATAAACGGATTAGTAAACCGTATAAGGAGCAACAAGATCGTGACGTCAAAAGGACTGAGGGAGAGGGTGACACACAGAGACGGCAGAGAACGTCTATAGTAGACGGCGGTTATTATTTAATTATTCCGAGTTCAGTAGAACTAAAAAAAAAAAAAAAAAAATCTGTAGATTATTAAATTATTACCGAGAATGTGTTACATATCTAGTACGCACTGAAAATGTGAATCAAGTGTACGCTAGAATTCAGAAAATTGGTGTTTTTGTAAAAAAAAAACCGCGTACCTCGAAAGAGAGAGATTTAACAATCGAGTAACACTCTCGGTTTAAATTTATACTGAGCTGTCAGATACCGAGCGAAAGTTTTTCTTTCATTATTCTTTAGACAAGCATCACGAGCGTAATTACGCATAGGGAATATAGTAATCCAATGATGAGTTTGTGGTAAACAAAAAAAAAAACTTATGTGCGCGGCACAAGAGATCTTTTACAAAATTTACACACACAAAAAAAAACGCGTGACCACTATTTTTACAAATAGACATAAGAATTAAAAAATAGGTATTTTTACTCGTATTTTTTATTTTTGTTTTTAGGAAAACGTTTTGGATCTTTTAAATCATGATGAATTCTCTTGAAAAAAAATCGACGATCTACCAGCGATCAAGTCACTCAAATTCCGACATATCTATTTCTGAAAAAAAAAACAAGTTAATATATTTGTCTTTATTAACATACGTTGAATAGTTCATTTTATGTTTATAAACGTGACATGTGACTTATGGAAATCACATGTCCGAAGATCGACGATGCGAATAAATTAAACTTTGTTGCTTTTTTATCCTGTTTTTTTTTTAAATACCATTCTAAACGTCCGTGAATTTAATTTAATGTGAAATTTTCTGCTGCTATTTCTATTTGGTGTTTTTACGTTTCATTGGATTGCTATATTTTTGGATGATAAGATCTTTGTCTCCTGTGTTCAATGAAAAGCTCATTTTCTTTCTGGGAAAGATGTAAAAAATACAAATATATAAATATTCGAGAAACTGTCAAACGGACGGAGTTTCATAGTTGTATAATTCTTGTATAAAATGTATAAGATCTTTCAGAAATAGTTTAGAGCTTCTTGTGCAGAGAAATGTAAATGATCGGTTGTTGTACAACATCTTTGCTAAAATTATTCAATTTTTTTTTTTGTAACAATGCGTTACTTCGTTGGCATTTAGAGTTTGAAGGTATTTCAGATTTTGCACGTGCGTGCGCGCGTGAGAGAGAGAGAGATATGATGAAGTAAAAAAAAACAATGACAGAAATACAAAGTTACAGGTTTTAAAAGCGTTTGAAACATGTGTGAGGATTCATTCCATTTCTTTTTAAAAATCCAAAACGATTTTAGACATGGTATATCTCAGTATATAAGAATAATTTTCGACACTATGTATATATATATTACATTTTAATCCAATACAAATTTTATATCTTATCAAACCGTACTGCTGTATCTTATGCTTTATATCTCAGACGAATGTTAATTATATGTAAATTAAATATCGATCGTGCAATAAGTCTTTTTGAGCGCTTTGAACTGATTATATTGAAACAAAAAAAAAAAAAACTGTCATATACATACATCATATTGTAATTTATATATAAATAGTTAAGTAACCATATATAGGAAAGAGAATCTTCGATATTCGCGTTTCTTTCTCGACTCGAGCTTAATGTGAATATAATAATTTTTTTGTTTCCCACTGTATCGGTGCCAATTTTACCGGATTATGAGACACGACACTCTGGAGCTGGCGAAGACACATTTTCATCAATCGTTAATTGCGATTTGAGTGAGGCACAGCTGTGCGTGTTGTTTTGTCGTAAGTTTTCGTAGCGTATTGTGTAATGTTGTATAAATCTACGATTACAGTAGAGTTTATTTTTTTCTGTGTGAACTAAAAAAACAAAAAAAAAAAAAAAAGCATTTGACGCAATCGTGAGTATGTCAGTATTGCGTAGATCCGATGATGTGTCATGTTGTTACGGCGGTTTTATACTAACGCGTGTTTTATTTGGTACATATATATATTATATATATATATAAATATAAATAGTCCTACTTTTTTATAAGGATAAATAAAAGCGTTGATAACCAATGTACATACGAACGTGCTATAAGGCTTAAGCTTTGACCGCCATTGCGTATGAAGTTTCTTATTATCAATACACGTGTGATCGTGTTGATCTGCGAATGAAAAAAAAAAAAAAAAGAAAAAAAAACTAAGTCTTTATTTCAAAGTTCTTTGAACACATCCTATTTTTATTTATGTAATTTAATAAAAATTGTTGACGATTTTTTTTCTACAAAAATCGATCGGTGCTTTCTTTTTTTCGTTGCGAGAATTGCATTCGTCACAACTCTTTGTTCGTTCTCAGAAATTTGTGATGTCTTATGCGAATCATATTGCGCGAACGCAGCAATATGTCAAGATTTCGAATGAAAAATAAATGAGTTTTTAAGATCTTGGACTAATATTCCTTGTGTGTAAAACCCGACATTAAAAAAAAGAAGAAAACAATAGAGTAGAAATGTAAAAAATATTACACATATGTAATCGAAGTAGAAACAAAATCTAAAAAAGTGTTTCTCTATAGATTATCATGCGCGTATCTATTAGATATTTTTTGTATATAATAATAGTTTTTTTTTTCGCAGTTATATACAAATTATTTTCTTGTGCTGTAACACGTTATTTTAACTAGTAAAGTATTATGCGAAAAAACGCTCTTCACCGAGTTCTATCTGTTCTTCATAGAGAACAGAATAACGGCAGTATCGAGATTCGCGTTGTTCTCTTTTAAATGAATTTTTCCACCGTTGAGAAAAAATGTATTAACGGTTACATCGGTTGTACAGTTAATTGCAAACTTACCAGTTTCACAAGAAAATCAAACATCTTGTTTAATTTAGTGGTGTTCAATCTTATTCAACTTACTTTTTTTTTTTCTGAAGAGAAAACTCAGTTATCAAAACCCAGTGTTTTATAAAATTGCGAAAACACGTAGTCAAGATAATCATGTGGTTCGAAATAACGAGATTTAAAAATGCTCTTTTTTGTTTTGATCGAATATAGATTATATAATTTACTTCTAAAGGATATTTTGTAAAATCGTCAACATACATCATCATGTGACTATTTTATCACGACATGGCATAAATTCTTGTTACTGCAATTTGTGAGTGTGAACAACAGAATGTATTCTCAGAGAGTACAGTGATAATGCAGCAAAAGGGTCTGTTCCGAACAAGATCATTATGCGCGTGTGATCGTTAACAAATGCAAACTTGCATAAAAAAAACTACGTATGCGAACGTGTATATTTTGTCATTTAATAATTCTCTTGTAGCGTGCAATTAGCTAGCGATGCGATATATTTCTCTTGCCCTCACACAATTGTTTTCTTTTTTTTGGTAAAAAAAAAAAAAGAATTTAATACAGCATTTCTGCCATAGACAAAGTTTTATCGCTTATCAGTAATAAATTCATTCGGTCGAGAAAAATAAGTGTAACAAAATGGTTTCAATCAACGTTTTTCTTATATTCGATTAATTAATTATTATATGATTGTATTGGATTTTTTAAATACGGATTATAGGGTCTATAAGTAATTTTCCTCTACAAACGCAAAATCGTATTGTATCATACAAAATTTTCGTTATATTAGCCATTTATTTACGTTCTTTTTATTCCAATTGTACCACTTAGAAACGATTTTTTTTTCTTGTGCAAAATAGGGCTCCAAGGTTAGTTCATCCAATTCCGACGCTATCCGAGTATTCAGGTAGCGGATAATTTATAGCGCTTCAAATTCGGTTTATTCAAAATATCTAAGACAATAGAAATTCAGATTTGTGTCGGGATCCGGATCGGATCTGTATATCTGTATCGAATACTTGGTAGCCCTAGTGCAAAATGTTACGTGGTAACAGAAAGGCCCTTTTGTCGTATGTTCACTGTAACGACATATAAAGGAAACGAAAACTTAGCTATAGAGATCGTCATCTCCATCATCTTGGAAGGCTTGATCGCCTTGTGTGTTGTCTTGAGTACCGCCTGCACCACTTTGTGGAAATCTGCAAAAGTTTTTTTTTTTTTTTTAAGAAATACGAAACGCGTGCACTCGAAAATCTCCATCGAAAGAGAACATGTGTATTTGTATATACTTTGAATAGTAAGAAATATTTCTTTATTTGCTATGTACGAGTCTCGAAAACACATACCTGAAATTAGTTCCAAATCCTCGCGATTGCTGAAGTGTTTGCGCAAACATTTCATACTTTCGTATGTCATTGTCAGATACTGAACGACGAGCAAACCTCATTGCTTCCTCGAAATGAGCCCGCGTTATTTCTGGTACCGGATCATCCTCATCCATCTAGAGTGCACATAAGAGCGAAAATAGAAATACATTTTAGAATTTAAGACTGAAATACACAACATCTGTATTTTTATCTAAATGAAATCATTTTAACTTCTACACGCCCATAAAACACTGCTTATATGCTTTTAATAAACTTTCAGAGCTGCATTATTGCGTCAGATATTATCGTATGTGTATAGAATGTAAGAGGAAAGTTCTATCTTGCAAACAGGAAATATTGTATAAACTTATTGTCGTCAAAGAAGATGTGAATAAATTATAAGTCAGAAATTCTCTCCGCGCGTTAAAAATTATTTATCGATGTACGCTAACCACACTACGAAGTCACTTCAGATATGAGTCATGACAAGTGACGCAGCAAAAATGGCTTTCGAAACATCCGAGTTGGAAATCGTCGAGTTTCGTCATAATACTCACGTCCATGGATGCGGATGGATTATTTGCTCGTTCTTTTTCTCTACGAATTTCAGTCTCGATGCACTGTCTAATGGCAAGTTTACACGCACGTTGACAAATCTCCGTAAGATCAGCACCGGAGAAACCATGTGTGACTTTAGCGATATAGCTTAAGTCTACATCCTATAAAAGAGAGAAAAAGAAACAATTTTTCAGAAATGCAACTTGTTCGTTTGCAATAAGATTCTCACGTATCGCTAATATGGAATTCTCACTTGAACAAATGTATCTGTTTGGTGAAATAATTACCTTAGCTACGGGAGATTTGCGGAGATTGGCCCGGAAAATGGCTTCTCGAGACTTTTCATCTGGCAGCGGTATGTAAATCAACTGATCTAATCTACCGGGCCGTAGAATAGCTGGATCTATGATATCAGGACGATTCGTCGCTCCTATGATGAACACGTTCTTCTTCGCACCCATACCGTCCATTTCCGTCAGTATCTGATTTATCACACGGTCCGCCGCGCCGCCTGCGTCGCCGACGGTACCTCCTCGAGACTTCGCGATGGAGTCGAGTTCATCGAAGAATAGCACACACGGTGCTGCTGATCTTGCCTGAAGTAAAACTCTTCGTCAAAACAACAATCTCAAAATATCATCAGCAATTTCGAATTATTCAGTGAAAGCAACATTACCTTATCGAACACGTCTCTGACATTAGCTTCCGATTCACCGAACCACATTGTCAACAATTCAGGGCCCTTGACAGAAATAAAATTCGCCTGACATTCGTTCGCGATAGCTTTGGCCAACAATGTTTTACCACAACCAGGAGGACCGTAGAATAATACACCTCGCGACGGTTGCATACCAAATTTCAAGAATTTATCGGGATGTTCCACTGGATACTGTGAAATGAAGAAACCACGCGTTTTGAACGTTTCAATTTTATTTACGAGTTGAATTTAGCGCGCATTAATTATTTCCTACCTGCACCAATTCTTGCAATTCCATTTTGACGCTCTGTAAACCTCCAATATCATCCCAAGTAACCGTTGGCACCTCAACGATTGTCTCGCGTAGGGCGCTCGGGCTGCTCTTTGTCATCGCGTACTTTAAAAAGAAATTTACTCTCATTTAGAAAACAAGCGCCAATTGTGCAATTCAATATATATAAAAAAAAATAATAATAATAACCACTTAATAACTCACCTTGAAGTTCTCCATTGTAACAGCCAAAGAAGATAGAACTTCCGCATCTATGTGATCATCTTCTAAATCGATGAGATCCATTTTTTCACGGATTTGTTGGAGAGCCGCTTCGGAACACAAAGATGCCAAATCAGCGCCGACGTGTCCATGAGTTTCGGCTGCGATCTAATGATATTTTGTTTTGTTAGAACTCTGTGCTATAAACTATGATTAATATAAAACAAAAATAGAGAACACGCGTACCTCTTCCAAGTCAACATCATCAGCGAGTCGCATATTTTTGGTGTGTATGCGCAAGATTTCCAAACGACCGGTCGCATCTGGTATACCAATGTCGATCTCTCTGTCAAAACGTCCGAAGCGACGCAACGCCCCGTCAATGCTGTTCGGCCGATTAGTAGCTGCCATCACGATAACATGAGAACTTTGCTTCATTCCGTCCATTAAGGTTAACAGTTGTGATACAATACGTCTCTCAACTTCACCATGGGTCTACAATCGCGAAAAGAGCAGCTGTCACACTTTGTTTCAAAGTACAATTTTTTGTACACAATAAAATCGATTTGGCAAACCTTTTCACGTTTTGGCGCGATAGCGTCGAGTTCATCGATGAATATAATTGCCGGAGAATTTTTCTCAGCTTCTTCGAATGCCTTTCTCAAGTTACTCTCGGACTCACCAGCCAGTTTACTCATAATTTCGGGACCTACATACAAAAACAAAAAGCATAAAAAAAAAAAAAAAATTCCCTTGATTTTTACCGTAATTATTCTGATAATAATTAAATTATCATACCGTTAATGAGGAAGAAGAACGCTCCTGTTTCGTTTGCCACGGCTCGAGCAATTAGTGTCTTTCCTGTTCCTGGTGGCCCGTACAACAATATACCGCGTGGCGGTTTAACACCAATAGCTTTGAACAAAGACGGATGTCGCAATGGTAATTCTACCATTTCCTTGATCTGCGCCAACTGCTTACGAACGCCACCGATATCGTCGTAACCAACAGCATTTAATGCTTCTTCCTCCTCCTACAAACGAATGTTTTTAATTATCCGTGAAAACAGTGAAGTTATTTTAAATAGCGCGCATATATCTAACCTCGCGCTTAATGGGATCACCCTCGCAATGAATCACTGTGTCGGGCGCCACAATACAAAATGGTCCTGGATCAGTTTCCACCACTTTGAATTCCACCGCTCGCATTCCTCCCCGGACAATGAAGTTGTCGTCCTTGTGAATGGGACGATACGCTTCGAGGAAGTATGGTTTTAAATATACTTCAAACAGATTTCTGCGAGACAAAAGCACCACGTGTAAGATTATAAAATCAGGTAATTAATTATATCTAGTATTTATACATTAGAGAGATGTTTTTATAAATTTTTTTTTTTAATTTACCCGGTAAGACCATCAACAGTATCGTCCATCGGCAACACATGAATTCGCTTCCCGTATTTTACTTCTGGACAAGCTTGTACAGAAACAACGTCACTTAGACGTACGCGTAAATTATTTCTAACAACTCTGTTCATGCGTATTTTCTCATCAGGACATGTATCATCTGAAAGAACGATGCACACTGTCTCTTTACGGCGTTTCCCCTTTAACAGTACTGTATCTCCGCGAAAAAGTTGCAGTTCATCCATCTTAGCCTGCGATAACGCCACAACTGAGTTATCATCTGCGATAGCCTCATCAACCAAGAGTCTATTTGGCCTATCCTTCTTACGAAGAATAGCTGTAGCCAAATCTTCACCGCTAGAACCAGAAGCATTAATTAAAATGCAGATCTTTGAAGCAATTATTTTTATTCTTTCAAACTATTTTAATTAGTTAATTAAAAAACTGATAAAAATGTCCTCTAAAAAAAATTATTCTTAAATTTTGTTGAGTAATTAAAAATTCTTCTGTAACTAAGAAATTTTTACCTTGTTTTTAGTTACTATCTTTCAGTCAAAAAATCTGTTGTTTAAGATAAAAGATTTTGCAACATATAATAATATTTAATATAATAAAATGTACTTGAATGTACAAAAAATACATAATTGTGTGTACATGTGAGAGTATACATGTATGCGTTCTGTTTATTTATATTCTGTTTAGAATCTTTTTGATTTTGTTACAAATATCATTGATGCAAGATGATGACACGTAGCAACTAATATATGTGAAATATATTCAAGAAATCAATATATTACTTAAATCTTTCAAGTTTTTAACAAATAACATTTGTTTCGAAAATAGAAAAATAAATATATTATTTGTATCTTCGTAATTTCTTTTTCACAATTGCGAATGGGAATAACGGTGCGTGATGCCATTTACGTTCACAATGCACAACGACGAAAATTGACGTTTTCGCATTTCTCTCTCTTTCTCTCCTGTTGTGTTTCACATAGCCATGATAGGACAAAAATTGATGAGCGCGATTCGCGTTCAATCGGGCATCGCAATTCGAGGTATCGCGCGAACGGGAACGACGACGAAATTAATGCTCGTGCCGATCTTAACGTAACGTCGCGCGTTTTACGACAAACGAGAGATAGTTCGTCGAAAACAAAGCGTTGCGTCGACATGATGACATCGTGAAATTGAGTCGCCGCGACTATCGCACTTCGTCGGTACAAGCTCCAACGATCCGCGAAAAAATCGACAATGAAAACCGCCGTGGATACGTCGTCTCGTCGTAATTTCTTACCTCTTCGGATCACTCATTGTTCAGTTCCTGATGTCTTTTATGCAAGAAAATCGCACGCGATACACAATCTCTCTTTCCGGTATACGCACTAATGCTTGGATGAGTGCTGACAACGGAACGGGAGACCGTATGATTTCTATCGTTGCCAAATCATAGCGTAACGGCGCGTTTTCATGAGCATTGTAGATTGTACACGTCAAACGTGTGAGTCACGCGCTAGCCAATCAACGTCTCGCATCTCGAGTGCGAAGGATGCGTAACTTCCGGCGTATAGTGAAATTTACTTGGGATTTGTCTTTTGCGATTGGCTAGCTTTGAATATAAGCAAAAAAAAAAAACCAACAGTGACGTGCGCCAATCAGTTGCGACCGACCGGAAATTAATCCAATCAGTTCGATACGAAATGTTTGACGCAGCACCAATGGGACAACCGTGTTGATTTGTTATTAGAGCGAATTTGATTGGCTAAGGTTACGCTTACGCAAGGTACGCTCCATGTAAAAGCAATTTTATAAATTTCTCTGGACAGAACGCTTTAAGGAACAACACAGTAACCAATCAGCAATTTGTTCTTGTGAAAAAGCAGCGTATTGATTGGTTATCGCGTCGATTCCAGTCGCGCGTTGACACGTTCGTTCGTAGAAACCCACCAACTTAGCTTAGGTCAAGCCCACCAACCGGTGGATTTTTTTTTCTCCGTTCTCGAGGACAATGCACGATCCTTCACCGCACACTTTACGTCACGCGTAGTCTACGTGAAGCGAGAGTTCGATAAATATACGCACCTGTCAAATCGATCCGCAATGGCCGGGATAAAAGGTTATTCGGTGTTATCTTGAATTATCCAGCGCGTGATTTGCCGTCCCGTAAAATTTTTGAAAGATGTCATCGCCGCAATAACTTCGCGCGAAAAGCGCGGATTCACTTATCAAAACATAACCTCGCGATTTCGTTGTTGTCATTGTTGGTTTGACACTTGAGAGCTTCGTGAGAGCTCTCTGATGTTTTATAATTTATTAATTTCAAAATAATGCGATTTATTCTCTTGTTAACGTTAGTTTGCGGGAACAAAACGTCTCGATTAACAACGTCACGCGTCTTCTTATGATTGTATTAAAAAAGGAGAGCTTTGTAAATATAAGTTTTGCAGAAATATAAGTATTATTTACAGTTGAATGGCTGCTAATTACTTCGAAGTATACGTCGTATATTTATATATACATACATATGTGCCATAAAGTTGTTTAAAAATGTTTACAAATAGACCACTGTGTTTTTGAACTATATATATATGTATTATATTATACACAGTTGCATTTATTGCATAATATGAAGACATTAACTGTTTAATTTTTTTTATTTCATGGTCAATTTCTCTTCATGGTGTTTCTCTGAAAAAAAAAAAAAACAGCGTAAGTATTTGTATATACAAAGAAAACTTGCAAGTAATTTTGAATTCGAAACTATAAACTTGTATCTGAGTCTTTCTTGTTATTTAATAAATAAGGAATTTTTTATATAAATTTTATAGAAACTTAATTTTATTACAGATTAGTATTGCTAGCATTTGCTGGTTCCATTGGAATGACTTTTGTAATTCTTGGCTGTGCATTACCAATATACAAGTGAGTACACATTTCTTAATCATAATTCTTTTGTTTTGCAAGTGTAAATTTTTCTTCAGAGTAATACATCACGGTTTGTGTAATTTTTAGGGTATGGTGGCCATTTTTTGTAGTGCTGTTCTACATATTGGCACCTATTCCAACCATAATAGCACGTCGTTACACAGATGACTCGGGTAGCACCAGTAATCCATGTTTAGAATTGGCAATATTTATTACCATGGGATTTGTGGTATCATCATTTGCTCTTCCAATTGTGTTGGCGCGATCTCCGGCAGATGAGCCAGTGGTATGTTATAGATCATAAGATCAGAAGGATTTATTATTTGATGTAATAGAGTATAGAGCACTTTATTCTTAAATTCTAGATACAATGGGGCGCGTGCTACTTGACGTTAGCAGGTAATATTGTTGTATACTCAACTCTAGTCGGATTTTTCATAACTTTTGATCAAGATGATACTGATTACAATATGTGGTGAAGCACTGCTACATTGTACTTATATGTCTTGGGAAAAGTGAGTAGCATATAAATGTAACAACTTAAAATTAGTTTCAAAGTATTAGGTCGATTTTCATAACGTTATTAAAATTAAATGTTCTATCAATTATACTTTGGTAAACTAAAATTGCTAGGTTTTTAAATCTTATAATTTATTTTCGAAACAAAAAATTGTCTGATAAGAAAACGGTTAGATTTATTCAAACATACTTTCGAACTATTCTTGTTGTATCGCCTGAAATTATTTCAGATTTTGTACAAGATTAGAGGAACAAATCAATCATGCAGTGCACTGACTGAAAGCTATATGTTAATTCTAAATTACTGCGAACTTATTGTACACAGGTTACACGTAATAATATATGAACTTTAATATATGTGAAAATTCTCTCTAATATATATATATATATCAATACTGCAAAAAAAAAATACTATAGTGCACTAACAATAGAACGTGTCAATGATAATACTATACACTATTTGTTAATGACGATTGGACATTGACACACACATGATGTCCAGAAAAAGCATTTGATGATTTTAGATTTTTCGTATATAAGAATGTTCAGGATGTAGCCTGAATCGTAACAATGCAAGGATGATGTTGAAAATATTTTTTATTTAATCTAAGTCTCTTTCATAATAATAATGATAAAACAAAGTTCCAGTTTTTTTTTTCATTTATTTTCAACTTATCCTGTCAAGTATCCTCGAAAATTTATTTTCATGACATTAAACAATTAAATGAAAATCACATTTGTCATTCAATTACATCACTTATAATTGCACTCTCTATCTTACATAGTTTCTAGGAAATAACAAAATGCGGCGTTGTGTTTATTTGCAATTAATCTCTTATATTTATGTGTATAAGTATATATAACATATAATTTTTATAATTTATAAAAGATTCTTAACAATTTAATAATTTTTATTAGCTACTTTTATTTTCTTCGGAGTTTTTCTACTTATTTTCCATATTTATACATATATCTTTGTACTACTATTATATAAATGTAGATACCTAATATAATAATTATAGGTAATTTATTATTGTGTACTAATGTGTGTATCTTCATATCACAAATTTTATTTTTTTATTATGATTTTACAAATAGATTTTTAATTATATATATATATAATTTCATTACACACACGTATGTAATTCTGAATTTTGCAAGTGCATTTGGAACAGATTTTGATTGACTGTCACATCGCGCCGTTACGCACAATGTGTTATATATATATATCTCAACGTATTAGGTATTAGGTATATTTCGTTTACATTAACGTTCACATTCATGGCCTACATAGTCTTTATAGTCTTTATATATGCATGTATAAATAGGACTATCTTATTATGTAAGAAACGACTATGTGAATACTATTCTATGAGTTAGATTTTAGTTTAATAGGTCTCACCAGTAACATAGGAGATGGTAAATGTACATAATTTTCCTGCGATCATTTTCAAACTTTGCTACAGTGAAAACACGATTTCCAAAATTTACAAAATTTACATACGTCTCTTTGACGTTTTAAATATTTTATTACGCTGAATTTGTTTTTTCTGTATATATACACATATATATACATATATATATATGTATGTATGTATATATACAAGTATATATATATCTATGTATATATATACAAGTAGTAGCTTTTGTTGATAATATTCAATTAACATTAACATGGCAAAACGTATCGAAATTAAGGCTTCAACGCGCGCGCGACACATTTTATATAAATATAAAAAATTGTATATATAGAACCTCCAAATTTCTCACGCTTGCGCCTTTCTTGGAAAAAAAATTCTTCGATAAGAAGACATTTCGTTCTCATGAAAAGACAATGCGCAAAATCGAGGAGACGCTATATATATAAAAATATTTCTGTGTACACAATTCAAATATGTATATACACAACAGATTCGCATCTCTTACGATTAGTCATTCACGCCTTGATGCATACCTCGTCATTCGTACGTTCTCATTCGCTCTTATTTATCTACAAAATCTTAATCATCAGTCTTCACAAGTTGCAGTCTGTCAACAGTTCTATGTACAATGAGGATGTATTTACAAGGAAGTTATTTGTATAATTTTAAAAGAGTCCGTTCTGTTTTTCATTGTATCAAGCGACCCTACACGATCTTGACGCCGATGCTGTTATTGACATGCAGTTTTGACAGTGTCTTTTTAACGCGAAGAGCAGTTAAGCGAACTAGCGGATTCACGTGCCAACATTCCGACATGATTTTGCTTAACGCGTACAGAATCTGTAAAAACAAGAGGAATTTTTATTCGATTTGAGTAACCGACAAGAATAACTCAGATGGAAGATAAAAACAACTGCTTCTCTCACCGAATCGTTATCCCATCTTGTTGGAATAACTGGACGCAATCGTTTCACGCAGACTACCAGGCGCATGTCCTCGAAATCCGGATCGCTTGGTACGACGTCGTGATAAGGCAACGCGTAAGGCTCCACCATTGAGCTCGTGCCACCCGTGACGCATCTTCTGCATGCTTCCCAGAACACAAGACCGACAGAATACATGTCAGCCATTCTAAATGCGTCGAAGGAAGCTGTGTTCAGTGTCTCGTCCAACACTTCCGGCGCCATGTAACGCCGTGTGCCCACTCGGGGATTCTGAGCAATGTCGATCTTTCCGCTGTCACTGTAAAGAAATAAATATCTCATTGAGAGAGATGTTCACGGCACAAATAACTTTTTTTTTTTAGCGCCTTTTAGCTTTAAAACTGAATGTTACGAGTTCGCATACCTGAAGTAGCGAACAGCCAAGCCAAAATCAGCTATGGCACACTCTCCGTTCCTTTTAACTAGGATATTTCTGCTTTTGATGTCTCTGTGAGCTATCGCAGGTTTTCCCTGCGTACCAAAGATTTCCGTGTGCAAGTGTGCGATGCCAGACGCGATGGACAAGCAAATCACCAGCAGACCTTGATGATCCAACATGGTTGTTTGCAAGTAATCGTGTAACGAACCTCTCTCGTGATAATCCGTGATCAGCAACATCTGCGTCCACGAGCCGGTACCTTTGATATCAGCGGCGATGAAGCCCAGGATATTGTCATGCCTCATAAGCACCGTCTGATAAATTTCCGTTTCACGGAACCAGGATTTCTCTTCCAACGTGAAGAAGACTTTCACCGCGACCTTTTCTCCGCCTCGCCATCGCGCGAGCCATACCTCGCCGTAACGCCCTTTTCCTACACACTGCGACATGGCCAATTGTTTCGCAATAGTCTGCTGCACCAGGAGCGGCAGTCCGGATCCTGATCCACTGCTTTGATCCATTAACGCTTTGAGAGTGTCCTGGCGCGGCACCAAACGCTGTCCCCGCTCCTTCCTGCGATATCGGACGTACATGAAACCCGCCATTATCAGAATGATCATGAAAACCACGAACAGGACCATTAAAATAATTAATGGCGCTCCCGACGCGCTAATGATCGCATTGGGCGACACGGTAGGTCGGGGTTTGTACGTTATATTGGGAAATTGTTCCCTGTTGCACAATGCCGTGGAATTGCAACATGTGATGCTCTTTTCTTGCAGATGGGGAACTAGATTTCCCTTGCACTGCATGAAACCTCCTTCATCGGGCGGTAAACAACCGTACGAGTACTCGGGGACAAATTCTCCCAAATCGGTGTCCCACACCTCTTCCACGGCGCTGAAGCACTGACCTCCGGCTCGTAGTTCGCATGTGCCATTCTGCCTGCCGTCCGGACAGTGTCCGTCGCAGTAGCAAACAATACCGACCACTGTGAGAGAAAACATCACGACATTAGATCACAATTTGTTGCTGGTCTCAATGAACGTGTGTGTGTGTGCGTGTGTATATATATATATACAAAGAGAAGAAATAACGCAAGATTCTAATATTAATCGCCTAGTCATTCAAAATATTCTTGGATTCTCGGATGCTTCGGAGAATAAAATTTATTTATAAGCAAATCTTTCGGGAGAAGAACGGCAAGAAGAGGAAAAGAAAAAGAGAAAGACGCATCAGTGGAATCAGATGATCGATTGCGAGGTGCGGTAAATAATTTCAATGATAATTGAGACAAAGAGCAGACTTAGGAGAAGGAAGAGGAGGAGAAACTAGGTGCGGATTCGAGAGGTTGTTCGGCAAGTCGCGAGATGTGTCGTGTAGGCGAACGACCGTCGTCCCACGGAGATGCCGGAGTGTATCAAGGAGAAAGGAGAGGTAGGTGCGTCCCGAAACGGAAATCCTTCATAAAGCAAAAGACGGTCGTCTCAGGTTGATACAAACCAGCGAAAGACCGATAAATCTTTCGTCGGTTGTAAACCTCTCGCGCGCACGCGCATATAAAAGCGCGATCAACATCACGCAAAATGATCTCTCGTCGCCATTTGCATGCAAAATATACGTTTAATTTTGCATATTTTCAAGAAAAAAAAAAAACTATAGTTAAAATGCAAATCACACTGAATATTCAAAAACCAAACTACTTTTCGCTTGTAAAATATCGATACCGTGCGAATGTGTAACATTTAAACTAAACGTAATTGTTTGGCGCGTTATTGTGAAGTTCAAAATTAAATTTGACAGCTCGCGAAACTGCAAACGTCCGCCTCCGATAACGGAGAATTCGACGCAGACAAGGTGGGGTATCACGTTTCTAACGAGCCAAGCTCGCTCGCGATGGCAAGCAAAAACGAGAAAGAGGAAGAAGAGGGTCTGAAACCGCATCGAGGGGGAGGGACACGCGCGCGAACGTCACGGAGAAGTCGACGCTTATCTTCCGCCGCGAAATTACTCGCGCGCGTCTATTTTACGGTGACCGCTCTCTATTTATATCTCACGAATATCCGGATGACGGATCGATTCGCGCGTTCCGCGTCCGTTGCTCCCGCGCGTTTGTCCCTCTCAAGTACGACAATTGTCACGCGGAGACGATTTCCTAATTCGCGAACATCGATTCCGAAACAACGCGGAAACGACATTAGCCGCTCGTACAAAAAAAAAATAGGCGGCGTACTTGCGTGATTTTTTTTTCTTTTTTTTTATTTTTATTATCTCCCCACGCGTTATCTCTCGGCTTTTTGGATACAGATAACCGATTCAGAGAGCTGCTGGTCAATTTAATTTATATAATGTTCAGACCGAGAATTTTTGAAATCGAGATCTTATTGTCGAAACACGCGAGACCGAGACGGCAAGAAAAAAAAACTGCGGATGAGCTACTTGGCAGTGACTCGGTTCTTCTTTTTATGTACTTTGAGTCAAACGATATCGCATCTTGATTTATTGCAGGTTTTTTTATTTATTTAAAGTCTCCGCGAAGAAGTCTACTACGTCGAATTTGCGACTACTTACTCGAAGAAGAAAAGTCGCGACTTTGATCCTTCAAGAAAGAAAAGCGACCAAGGACAAGGTTGAGACGCGAAGCAAGATCTATTCGTCGATTCGTGATCCGATTCGCTCTTATCCTTGCGTATCTCGAGAGGCGTAAATAGCTTGGCACACAAGAAGTATTTTTCCACATCGACCAACGTCAACGCGTGTCTCACACGATTGTCGTTGGAATACTATCTCGCGGCTCGCGATTAATGACCGCGCGCGCAGTGCGTGTGGAAACTCGCGTAGATCTATAAAAACGATCGGTCTGTCTCTCTAAACCGGGCGCTTACACCGCGATATCACGATCTTATCTGAGAGAGAAGAGCGGATGTGGAAATCTCTTACACACAGACGATATACACGTTCACGCGATGATAATCTATCGATATATACAATCTCTCAACACGTTCGTCCGCGTAGATCGAGATCGATTCGAGTTTTTTTTTATATATATATTACTACTTTTACGCGACTCAAATTCATTTTGAGAAAATTATTAGCTTCGTAGAGCGTTCGCGATCACTTTTGTCGGGTTTCGCGCGCGCTTCCGATAATACGCGCGTTTATAAAAACTAAAAAATCGCGGCTCCGCGCGGACGCTTCGCTTATCGGGCCCGTTCGTCAGTGACGGGAAAGTCCTAATGGACTGTTTAGAAAACTGTCATGCACACGCGAGCGTGTCGTACGAGCCACGCGGATCACACGACCCGAGAGGCGTAACGCGCATATCTGTTTTCGCGTGCGCGCCACTCTTTCGCACACGACGACGCAATCGGCGCCCGTAATCGCGCGCGAAGGTTTCAATGAATCGGTTGCGCGCGCGCGCGCGCGGGACGACGTGCCAGCTAGTCGCGGACTTTATCAGCTTGGCAAAGAGCAGTATCAGCGAGATACGTCCGCGCGCGTCTATGAGTCGCCAAATCGCGAACTTTGCCGGCGACTTTGCTCCAGAAACACGCCCGTTCCTTTTTCTACCTCTCTCTCTCTCTCTCTCTCGACAAGGTCGGGGATCGACGCCGCTTTGCGTCTTTAGTGCGTCAGTAAACAAGTCGCAACAATAAACAACGTCGATCGTCAATAATAAACAAACCGCGCGATGTTTGTTGTTTCTCGCGAGAGAGAAATAAAATAAATTAAACAGAATGTCGCGAACACACACGGACACGTTAATAGGATGAATGCAACTTTGTCGATGAACCAATGAGGATCCGGTAAAAAATAGAAAAATCAGTTGGGTAAATAACACCGAATTATCTCTCGAATTCAAGTCTCAAATTTGTACAAGAATCAGGTGTAACATAGGGTCATTCTTTCTTATCGCGTAATCAATTGTTTTACAAGTCAACACTGATAATGTCATCGCACGTTTCCCAATCGCTCGCTCGAGTGCGCCCGCGATGGGCGCGAATAAACGAGAACAAAAAAAAAAAAAAAACTACAAGTTTCGCCGATTGTCAAATCTCGGCGAATTCAATAAATCAATCGGAGCGAGTAACATTTTCGGATCGACGACGACGACGACGAAAACTTAAAGCGCGCACGCTGTGTGTCGCACAGGAAACTTAACACCGCGCTGCAAATAATATTGTCGAGAAAGCGGTGCAGCAAACGTGCGCGCGCGTGATACACCACACCGCGCGCGATAGTAATTTTCGTGGAAGAACAATCAGCCGTGTGTATGTAATCCTATCCCGTGTTGCGCGCTCGGTTGTGATTTCGAGCGGGAAATCCGTCGCCGTGACTGAACCAACACCTCCAATGTCTTTCTCTCTCTCTATCTCCTCGTGAAACAGCATCCGCCACGAGATCTTTGAAAAATAGATGAGTCTGAAAAGATGAGATGCGCGATAAGTGACACAATTTGGAAATGGCATTTTTTTGTTTAAAAAATTTCTGTAATCGTTGGAAAATCTTTTGACAAAAAAAAAAAGACTCAAAATGACAATCCATTAAGATCTCAATCGAATAGTTTGTCTAAACGAATAGTTTATCTAAACTATTTATAGATGGCTGTACACGGCCAATTCGCCGCGAATAAAAATAACGAGCGTTTTCGCCACGCAGACCTCGGGGGGGAACGAAAATTCGTGGCGATTTTTACGTCAGACTTGAATTATCGGCGCAATTCGTCACAGCGTTCTCATCACCGCGGGAGATGCGTTTTGTTACTCGAGCGAGCGGTGGTGTTGGGGTTTTTTTGTTTTTTTCATCTCAGAACAGATATTTCAAATTCCCCGAGGTCTACAATTCCTTCCGATAACGGCGAATAAACGCGCATCCGGAATTACTGAAAAAAAAAAAAAAGAGACAAAACGCGTTGCTTGCATTTCCACGAACCACGAGAACGTATTTTTATCCCGCATTCCGGATGTACTTCTTGCGCGTTACATAGAAAAAGACGCCGTATTATTCAAGCCTTATTCGTCATCCATACGCCATGTCGCACGCGCGATGTCCTTGCGCGATTCTCGCGCGGGAGAAGAAAAAACGCGCGTCATATAGACGTGCGTGATAAAGGAGAGAAAGGAAGATCAAAGAAGCGGCGTGTGACAAGAGGAAGAGAAAAAACAGAGCGTTTTTTTCGCCGCGTTTTCAACGCAAGAGCGCGCACGTTGAGATTACGTTTACGGCGTGAGGAGACGGCGAGAGAAAGAGAGTGTCTCCAGCTGACGAAAAACGACGTCTAATAAAATCCTTTGACGTATTTCGAGCATCGTGTGTCGAAAGCGACGTGAACAGTCTCAATTTCCTGTACACGTCAAACAGATAGAGCTCCGCGTTGTAGAGCCCCGCGCGTTTACAGTCCGATTGCGGATTGCTGAAACACATCGAGGAGATCTGATTTGACGTCAGTGTGAAATATACGGAGTTGAAATATACGACGCGTTTAACGATCGAACCGAATCGATCGTTTCGAATCTTGATTGTGACACTTGGAGAACGCGCGTGACGCAAACGCGCAACAACATTGAGATCTGGTCGCTATTTTTATTGCGACTTAGAAAACAAATTCCTTGACGGAAAACGAAAAAAAAACTTTGTGAAAATTCTACCGATTCAACACTGACTTTTGCAGCGAACATTTTGCCGATGAAGCGAATGATTCAATTGAGACTCTCTTTCGCATCAACCGCGAGTTTACGTCGGTCAAGTGCGTCGCACCGTGCGGATTGAGAAAAAAAAAAAAAACGCTCATTAAAAAGTTGACAGCTGAGTGTCGTAACATCGCCGCGTTTGAAAGGGTTAAAGTCTGGTGTCATCGGCTACGTCATTGCGTCTCGATATCGAATCGCGCGCGGCAATCAGTTGGTCGTTGGTCCAGTATCATCGCGCGTAAGCGTTTGAGACTGGACCAAACCCGTGATCGAGAGAGAAAGAGAGACAAATAAGCCGCAAAAGAGTGAAAAAAAGGAAATAAAAAGAAAAATGGAAAAAATCGCGGGTCGGCGAGAGAAACGGAACTCTCGTCTCTCGAGCCGACGCGAAGCTGCGCGCGGATTCTCAGCACATCGCTGGTATTTCAGTCTCTAACCTCGACCAGAGGAGGCTAAACCTCTTCTCATCTCCGTTTCTCTCCGTTTCTCTCTCTTTCCGTCACGTCTTCCGACGTTCTCGTCTCGGCGGACGTAAAAAAGAACAGTCGCATGCTTTCCCGAGCGCGGCACACAGGAATTCCTTCCGTGAAAACGCACGGAACGAGAGGCGCGTCTTGCGTCGCATAAAAAAGAAAAAAAAAAAAGAAAAAAACAATCGGCGAAGGTCCTATCGATTGTTTCAATACCGATTTGTAAATCGCAATCTTATCGCGGATAATGCGTTTTTCAGTTACAATCGGGATTGCACGTTTTGTTTAAAATGACACACAAGGTCGCAGAGAAAAGTAGAAGCAAAATTTGCGCTTTGATCAATGCAAAAGTATCTATAGCGAAGATAAAAATATCCATCGGATTTGATAAAGCTTGACTTAACGAAGAACTAAAATTAACTTAGAACTCACGTTGCAAAATGCAACCCACGAGGCGGAGAAAAAGAAAAACGCGAAGAAGACGTTAAAGGAAATTTGTACGGCGCGCTGTCGAGAGGAATCTCAAGGAAAACACGACACCACGCGATACGTACACTGGAGCATGACGGTTGTGTGCGCGCAGCAGCAGCACCAGCAGCAGCAGAAGTATCGCGCGGAGGAAACCGTCGGTTTGTGTTGTCGCACGCTTCTTCAAGAACGAAGGGGGTGGCTTCTTTCTCGAAGATCGGAGCAAAAAGCCTTGCGGTGCAATTGAGGGCGCGCCGGGGCAACGATCCCTCGGAGCGAAAAGCGCACGCGATCGCTCGTCGGTTCGACCGCGACCAGGAAGATTGACGACGAGAGTACGCGGAACGGAACGTCAGTCCGTGACGGAGAGAAGAAGACGAAGAAAATGGGACGGAGCGAACGAAACAACAGCGTGATCGTCGTTGGATTACAACACACATCTGCGTGGCAGAAGGCGAACACAGAGACAGGGAGAGAAAGAGAGAGAGAGAGAGAGAAACTGAAAGCGTGGTCGTTCTCTCGCTTGTTTGCGAGAGTTCGCCCGCATTTAATCGATTCTCGCGCGCGCGAATGGCCCGGTGGTGGTGATGAACCTTCAGATGGAGAACAACGACGCGTCCCGTTCAGGACCAGGAGGGTAAACACACAACGCGGTGACACGCACACGCGGGGTAACCGACTCCGTACTCACCGTCGATAAATCTCGCGACAAACACTCCCAGTCCGACAAGCGACAGGCCATATTTACATCCGCGCTGATCCGTCGTAGCGGCGAGCGCAGCCATTTTCTACACTCGGGACTCTCGGGAGCACATACTTCACTGTGACGTAGGGCTCTCCGCAACGCGCCGCAAGGCGCAGGCCGCTCGTACCTCGGTCGTCTTCGTCTAGGTAGGGGGCGACTTTGCAGCGGTGGGATTGGCGTTTCGTGAATCCTCGACTCTGCAAGAGAGAACAACAATCAGTTTGCGTGAGAGCGAGCGAGATGGTGATGCTGGGGCCGGAGCTCAGACCCGTACCGAGAAAACCTCTTCGCCCCGAGTGTGTTTGGTTCGATTTTCGCGCGCGATATTGTTGCGAGAAAATTAATCATCGAGGGTAGCGCCGAAAGATATTTTTCCTGCAAATAATATATAGATATGAGAATCAGAATTGTTTAAAACGTGATTAAAAGAATCCTCTCGTGTAGAAGAAGTCAATTTGTTTTTTTTTTCTTTTTTTAGCGTAAATACACAAACATGAGTCAAACATTTATCTGTTGTAAACAAAAACCATTTTTCCAGATCGCGAAGTGTCAAAGATCATCTCGACGCTCAACAGATTTCAGTGTTTCTGACACACTGACGTTTTCAGATAAAACGTTAGATATTTTGTGTTCTACGTCTCAGTACAAATTTGGCGTAATCTGCCTGTCTGGCGTACGCGTCTGGTCTTGGTTGTTGTTGTCAGCGAAGAAGAGCACGACGGCGCCCCGTGGGCGCCATTATGCCGCCGATGGGGCACCGTGCGGAGAGAATCTCTCCGGAGAGATTCTCTCTTTCTCTCTCTCTCTCTCTCTCATTCTCGACAGGGATCGCGCGCTATATACTCGCCTCTCGACGCTTCGGAGCCAGGAAGGGTCGCGTTGTTCCTCGGAAAGGCGCAAATGTCTATGCGCGACGCGTCACCGACAGAATCCAGAACCCGGCTAGAATCTAGAATCTCGTTTTCCTCCTCCCCTCCGTCTTGATCCGTGGGATCACGTACCTTTCTCTGTATTTTCCTTGTCCTCTTCCCCCCTTGAGTCGAGCGACATTTGCGTCGCTCCGAATGGAGTGTCTTTAATTGCGAATTCGATCGGGAACGCCAAGTGCGCGAACTAGTTTCGTGGAGAGAGACTGGAAAAACAAGATCCGCGTTTTAATTAATTTGTGTACCTGTTGCACTTGATTTCTTTTTCTTCTTTTTTTTTTTCGCGCGCGCGCGCGCGCGAGTCCATGTCCTCGGATTTGCCAAAGAAAAAAGCAATTACGCTGAGATTACTTACCTTAATAATTTTTGGCCAACGGTCTCTTCGGAAGAGAAGAGCGATTGAAGCGCTACGGGGGTTGCGCGCCACGCTGCGAGTGGCGAACGCGAAGCAACGCCACTAAAGCGCGGTTTCCAGTGTCTGCAACAACACGCGGATCTCTTTTATTTCTTTTTTTCACGGCCTCTGGCTTGCCTCGCCAACTACGTGTGAATATAGCAGTATTATCGATATCAGATTACCGGCTAATTGTCGGCGGCGTCCCCAAGATTGCCGGAATGGTAATGTTTCACGCTTCCGGAAGAGCTGACTTTGCTTTTTTTATTGCCTTCTAAAGGCGACTTAACGATCAAACGTGTAACACCACTTCTGGCTCAACGAAAGCGCAAAGATTTATGCAAGAGTAAGTGTTTTTCCTCTTCTTGCCGCATATGACTTTAGTCACGTTTTTAAAGACACGCTACTAAAGTCTTGATATTTGAAAACTATCGACCTAACCTTTAGTTTTAATATGATTTTTTTTATCAACTCGACAATCTTTTGAAAAATATATTGATAAGAATCTTTGTTAAGTAATTAGATACTACATTATAATATACAATCAATACCAATTTCGTCTCATTAAATAATTAATAAATTTGTAGAAGCTAGAGATACTCTACACAAAAGCAGAAAAAAAATATTTCGCAATGGATAAATGGCCTTTTTCTGAAGCGCAATTTGTGCCGTTCGTGTGCAAAAATGTAAAAGAAGTTCTCGGCGCTGCAATATGGTGAATATTAAGATCCAACAAAGGCGCACTGTTCGCGGGAGAACAAAGCTCGCGGCAATTCTTTCGCGCCGCCAGCAACTAGTCGGACTCCGGCGATCGGATTCGTCGTCGTCGTCGTCGTCGTCGTCGTGACGACGAGGAGCACGAAACGTCGCCTCGCATCAAGATTAGGTCGCCGCGTGACGACGATGACGCCGATGTGGTGTGCTACCCGCGCGTAACCTGTTGCGTGTGTATCGGTCGAGCGTGAAGTCGCGCGATCCAGATTGAAACGCACGGACCGACCCTCAGACGCATCCGTCCGTCGTTTCTCGCGCGCGCTAAAAGGCGTCAGTCATTATATTTTTAGAGATGATCTTCGGCACTTTTATGGAAAGAGACGTACATCCAACGCGCGGCATCCAACATGCGTTTTTCTCGAAAAAGCAGACCGCTTTATTTTTATCGTGACTCGGATTTTTTTCGAAACCTAAAAAATTGTATAAATTGAAGGATGTTTAAAAAAATTGTCCCTGCAATTTTGCCCTTGCAAATTTTGTTAAATATATAATCAAATATTCCTTGTCGCAATTAAAATATTTGCTTAAAGATTTGTTTTTGTAGTCGCGTGTTGTATTATTTTTCGGATAAAGTTGTACTGTTTATCGAATGTTCGTTGTATTATAATAGCGTGTTAATCTGTTTAACAAACAAGCACAAGTGAAGATAAATATTGCCTCTTTTCTAAACAAAATATCGTTTGTGTTCAGGGCGTTATCATCGTGGGAACTCGTGAACGGGATGACAGGCTGCGGTCTCTTGCTCGAGGATTGACAGTAAATCACTTGTCACCGCTAAGCACGTGCTGTGAAAACTACTAATGCGCGTTTTCTGGAAATGTGAATGACGGGTCTTCAATTCATTGCCGATACGTGACGTAGAAATTTGTTCTGGACGTGCACGTACATATGCGTCTCTTGTAATGACTTGCAGATGCTGGCAAAAGAGACGCCAATGAGAAGGTCGGTTTCGAGCCGGTAAAGACGCACACACGCGCTGGCTTGGCAAATGGCAGCATCTTATGCGCGCAATTTCTCACAATTAGCCTAGTTAAACGAGGGGCCTCGCCTGTCATTCTGTCGGTAATCAACCGGAAATCGATTCGATACGACGACGACCGCGATCGCGCGAGAGAAGAAGTAACCATTCGAATAGACGAATTCATAATCGAGAAACGAGAGAATCGCCGGACAGTCGACGACTGTGACTCTGATTAACGCTTAATTATGAGTTATTAAAGATTGCGTTGAGCGAGACGATCGGTACGGGATGATGAATATGCATTCCACATCACAAAGGCGTAGTTAGAGGCAATAGTTGACCGGCAAACGATCCCTAATTGCTGCGTATAAATTATTACCGTGTAATGATCTATCTCGTTGAAAGAAACATTTCTGACGAAATGAGGAAAACAATGCGAACAAACGGTGTGATTGTACAATTCACAGGCTTGAAATCGTCGATCTTGCATCGACCAAGTCTCGCTCTTGTGTTTCTTTAGTAAAAGTCGCCGAGAAACTTAATCTTAAAGTCGCCGAAGAATCCCTAAATAAATTGGATTGCAAAGTGTTTTATTTTTGTTGCAAACAACCATAAGCGGATTTTCGCAGAAATCCCGCGTCCATCGTTTATTCATGACCGCCTCCGGGACGAACACACCGGCCACTTTCGAGCGTCGTGTTAAAGAAAAACGAGAAGCATCGCGATCCGGAGCTTCGAACCGGATTTCGGGATTAGAATCAGATACCCTCCCCTTCTCTGAAACGTCGTCGATGCGTTTTCGTTTTACACGTACGTGAGGCTTTGAGAGGCGACGGAGATCGCGCCTTCGTGCGCACTCATCCCGAGTCGGGCGTTTCGAGGAACCGCGACAATGGGGCCCACAAAGGCGAGCGGGAAAGAGCCTCCCGCTCGTGTCCGTTCCTTCTGCGCCATGAAATCACGATCCATTCGTCTCGCCTGGAAATATATTACGCCGGCAGGCGACGAACCGCCAAAAAAGAAGAGCGCCCATCGTAGCTTGTTGCACACGGACGTGACGCGGCGGAACACAATTACCACGATCGGCCCCCGTCAACTTTTGTTGTTATTATTTCGCGCCACGAATTGAGAATTGTATTCTTTATGGCGATATTTTTGCCAATTCTCCTCGACACCGTCTGCGCATCGCATTGTTAGCAATGTAAGTATACGCGAGTCATCGCAATTACAATAAAACTCGATTGAAAGATTCGGACTCGTTAACGAATTGAATTGCTAAAATCAAACGCGTAAAAAATGTTTTTTTTTATTAGACTAAAACGTATGTCTTGCAATTGTTGAAATTCTTTTTCAGATCTTTGAATAATCAATCTGTTGCTTGCGTGAGGACGTAAGAAGATCAGTAATAAAACACTATTCTGCACAAAAGTTATAATTTACGTGATAAAACAAATTCTACAAATCTCAGTATCTAACATCAAGGCGTGCCACATTAAGGTGATCCAACAAAGTGGAGTTCAAATTTCTTCAGGACCTCGAAAGTGCCCAACCTATTCGGCGCCAGCCACGAAGGTCCAACACAGAAGTATATTTTATTCGGAAGAAAAGAGAGAAGAAGAGAAACGAAGGGGGCTTGAAATAGGGACTTTGAAGAACGGAGCTAAATCGCTCGTCTGGCAACTAACGTGCCATGAAGCCTTTCAGGCCCCTGGGTCAGCTTCGTTTTGAATTTCTCTCTCTCTTTCTCTCTCTTTTTTTTTTCTTCTCTTTTTCTCTCTCGCTTCTCTCTTTTATGTTCACAATATATATACATTCAAGCTTTGTACGTTGCAATTCCAAGAATTCAGATAAACGCAAATCTGCTTTTTATATCGTTAACATACATTTATAAATTTACTTAGGCGTATGTTAATCTGAAAAAAATTGTTTAAAAAATCAACTTACGGATTTTTTTTAGCACATTGCACGGTGACAAGTTTAACGAAAACAAAACAAAATACATCGCGCTGACAAAGATTAAATAATACGTGGCGTTTTATTGGCATTGTCGTGCGGGCTGAGCTGACGACTTCCGGCGATTACCATTCAAATCCTCATCATTTAGTCAAGAGGCTAATGTATTTTTTGTCTGGAAGCACATCGAAGTGTGTTAACGCGAATGTCTAACGCACACGTTCGAATTTCTTTGAGGATATTTGAGAAACGTTTTTTTTTTTCATCTACGCAGTTACGTTTATCTGACTGTTGCGCGCAAGGAATAAAATCCGTTGGTATGTGCGCACGTCGCGAGATATTTTTATGAATAGAACCGGACGCCATTAATACACTCCGATCGTTGTATTCTCTTCTTAAGTGGCAGTGTAACGGTCAAGATTGGCCGATGGTTACATTGGATAATCGTATCTATTATAGCGAAGGGTCTACCGCGAAGAGCTACTGAAGTTCTTCTCGAGTTAAGCTCGCGCGCGTCGCCACCGACCGTAAAAATTCAAAATGCAAACGCAACAACCAAGTTACGCGTATATACGCGCGCGCTTATTGCGCTTCGCGTTCACTATTATTAGCCGTCGGCCAATCTTGGTGTTTAATCGTGCGACGCGCGGAAAAGAGAAAGATAACCACAGGTATATATCTCTTTCATTAATTTCCTTTAAGGATTTCGCGGAGATTTCTCTCCGTCTGGATCTTAATCGACCGTCGTTACCTTCATCGTTGCCGTTTGGCGCCGGGATAATTAATCGTCTTGTTCACTACCGCTTCGAGTGGTCGGCAAAGGATACTGCGGTTGGTTTATCACGAAAAAGAATTATAAAGAACGAGCGAGGGAGGAGGAAGGAGGAGAGAGCGGGGATAGAAGATGAGACTGCGAGAGAGATGAGAGTTCGACTGAATCCCGATGGAACGTTGTATAAGAGGCGACTACCTGCTGTACGATCACAGTCTACTTCTTCTGTAAGAACGGGATTCGCGCCTACGCGTAAGTAGGATAAGGATATCTTTAGAGCAGGCTTTTATCGCCGAGAGTCAGGTGTGAATTGGCGCCACTGGTGATGATAATTCGATCAAAGAGGACGCGCCGCTGAATCCGCAGTCGCGTCCAAAGAGAAGGCTAGCGAAAATTAATTGATCTCGTTTTTTTCGCGGAAATCACGATACGTTTCTTCCGTAAACTGTTCGAAACACCGCGCTTTCGAATCAATGCACGACGTTTGTATTTCTAGGAAAAGTTCGCTTTCTTTTGCGTTTAAAAAAAGTTTGATCTTTCTGTTTTTATTCAGTAACAGCTTAATAAATGTTTAATGCGCGAATTAAATGTTTCAACAGAAACATATTACTTCCAAAGATCTTTAGTTCTCGCATAAAACGCGACGATATATTTTCGAATCTTTTCGGCGAAATTTTCGAATCGCAATATGCTCACGGATCGGTTATTATCGCGAGACATCTTCGGCTCGATCGCCGCGCAATTTACATTCGATTTTAATCGAGCATGATGTAATCGAGACGTTTAAAGCTAATGAACGAGCACTCGCGCCGCATTTGGTGCTCCGTTGAATACGCGAATTCGACGTAATGGCTATATTTAATTCGCGAAATGAATGAACTTTAAAGTGGATCGTCAGTTTGATGTACACTTTGTGTTCTCGCAATATAATTAAATATTTCCGATGAAATCAATTGAAATAACATTCTCGGTTTGTCAAGATAAACTCTGTTATTTGTTTTATAAAAATTAAAGACCAATCAAGCTGTTCGGATAAATATTACATTGCATAATAATAATAATAATAATAACGCTGTATCATCAAAGAGATGTGCTATATCGAGCCATTCTAACGACCGGAAATAGAAAGCGTAGGTGTCTTTCATTTTGCGAGTACGGTCCTGAGGCCTGGCCCGTTGTTTCGTCCTTTATGGGCACACGTACGTACGTACGAGGCGGCAGGCAGCAATATATAAGAGAGGGAAGGAGGGACTTTGTATAACAAAGATTCATCGGGACCGGTTTCGTACGGGCACCCTTTTTTACATTCTCCGAAGAAAAAGAGAAAGAGAGAGAGAGAGAGAGAGAGAGAGAGAGAGACCCCGCCGTGCCGCGGGTGTGAAAACTGACACCCACCCGCTTGTTATTTCGTCAAACATGAGCCCTAAAAATTATAGGCATCATACGCTAACGCACGTTCTTCTGAAACACTGTTAAACTACAAATTGTTCCCGATTGCGTATCGTTCTGGGTAATAATTTTGCGTAATATAGTGCATATAATTATATAATTCTGATAATATATGCGCGCGAGCGTGTATGTGTGTGTGTGTGTGTACGTCGTACAATATCATGCAAAAGAGTATTTTTTTAGATTATAATAATTTGTGTTTTATGATAGCAAATGAGAAATTTTATAATGACACACTTGATGACATCGCAAAAATGACCGTTTGTATGAACTTTTTTTATGCAAACATGTACGTGTGTGTGTGTGTACGATTATAAACTGTGTACGCATCCGTCGTTATTAAACTCGATACTGTATTGTGAGCCGCGCATTATTTCGAGCAACGAACAATTTTCGCGCGAAAACAGTAACGATAATGCGACGTAATACGATGCAAAGCGCGTCGATCTAATAATAATGTCGCGAAATGATGGGGACACACGCGTATTACGACACCTACTCACTTGTCGTTTCGCTAAACACGATCCCAGAAAATTATAGGAATCACGTGGCGTCGCATCTCCTCGTCGAGAGAGAGAGAGAGACCCAGCCGCGCGCGGCTCACGCCAAATTATTCTCGATTGCACGCTCGCGCTACATTTTATAACCGTCAATTAAACGTGACACCGGACAATTGCTGTTTGTGGCCGATAAATCCTCTCCCGTATAATTCCGAATGGAGGCGCAAAATTTATAGTGACCGCCTTCTTCTCGTAACATTGTTATCTATCATAGAATTTCAATTATATCATTACTCGTTGCTGTTATCTATAAAATCACAATTTTGATCGTTAATAAGCTTTTTCTGTTTTTTATTTTTCAGGACCAAGTAACCAAGTCGTTCAAAATCAGTACCTGGAGAAAAATTTGCTTTTCTTCTCGCAATTTGCAGATTACGAATTGACTTGATTGACTGCTATTATCTTAACAAAAAATAGTCGACGCGTATGTGTTGCAAAAGTTTGACACGCGCAAACGCGAAAAAGATATAACCGCGATGTAGCTCTCGGCGCGATCGAGAAAATCGAAAATTGCAAACGCGCGCGTTGCGAATAGGTATTCCAATCTCGCGTATTTACTCGCAGCTGCAACGATGGCTTGCAACGATTCCGAGGCAATTGAACCGAGACGAAATGCCGCCTGTACCGAGACCGCAGCGCGGCTAACCGCAGAACCCGATTATTTTCGATATGGGATCGAGAAGGGTGCCGCAACCAAAGGAGAGTGCCTGGAGAAAGATCCTGTATGGAAAACTCGAAATCCCAGACCGCGTGAAGCGAGCGCACAAATCTCGCCGCCCATGAAATCGAATTAACTCCGCGGCGCCTGACTTTGCGTCCCGCCGTTTTTTTACACGAGACATCGTCCCCGCATTCTCCGTCTTCGTTTTCGTTTCCTCGCCCGTCGTGTATACGGCGGGCTGTACGTCGGAATTTTTAACTGAAAAACGAAACACGTCGGCGAAGCGATCACGTTCGGTCGTTTCGGATCGCGTCACATTCTGGACGATCGCGACGAGATTGGACTCGGCGATCGTAAAGATCGCGACAGATTGGACTCTTTTTGAGATAACAACGTCGAAGCGTTGAAGTAAATTTCTTATATATTTTTGTTTTACATTTTACCGCAAGAATGTCAATTAAAGTAATAGAGCAAACGCAACGCATCTCGCTGATTCGTCCGTAACAAAGCAATTTTTCTGGATGACCGAGTTAACGCGTAAAAAAAAAAAAAAAAAAAACAATCTAGCGGGTATTCTAGCCGCGAGCATTTTTCAGAAACGGCGCGGTTAGAAAACCGACAGGCGTGGCATAGCATGAGGAACGTAAGTATTTAATGCCAAGTCGCTGTCCGCATTCTCGGTTGACAAGACTCCGTAGCTCTCACCGCTCTCCGAGGCGGTCGCGCGCTGTTGAAACTAAAGCGCGCGGTCTCCTCGCACATATAATGCACGTCGTGGTACACGGAGGTGTATCTAACAAATAAGGCACTTGTTAGTCGCTCTCCGAGACTAGCTACTCGGAGCAGCGATCCCGCGGGACGAGTTTTGCGCCGCAACCCTTTTGCCCATAATCGGCGGCACAATACCTGTCTCCGGAGGAGACTGCCCCGAAGCTACGAACGTTTCTTGCAAGTACATCGCCATAATCGGCAACCGAATCTTTCAGAGTATCTCTGTTCTTAATCACCGGCGCGCAATTTCAGTTCCAAACTCGAACAGATCGTTTTTCTCAAGGAGAACGGCTGTGAACCGAAGAAGTTGTGGAAGTTACTTCTGAAAAAAAATCAGAACGCACAGGCGTGTGATTTTAAATTTAAATAAATATATTAGACGCTTGTATACTGTTTTTTTTTTTTTTTTTTAATAATCAATGTACACAGTTGTACTTCTCCTTTCTTGAATAAATTAAAAAAGGTATGTGTTGCGAAAATTTTATCACCTCGCGATCACAGAAGTCCCCACTTCGTCTGTCAGTTCACTCGGTGACATTTTCCTTTCGATACATTGACAGTAAAAATTATCAAACAAATGTTAAAGAAAAAAATTATTTTAGCGAATAATTTCTATTACATTATTCAACTTCATAAAATTGTGATTATATTATCTGATCAATGTCTTAGAGAAAAACTTGAGTTTATAGACTGAATCTATACATAAGGAAGTGTATGGCAATTTGAACGAACAAAGCGGCATGGAGACACGTGCGCCTGTCGAATGTAACCACGTAAGTGGCCGCCGCGAAAGGAAAATTGTATTAGCAGAGATTCAAATCCGTGATTCCGATATTCGCTAAGAGCGATTTGAATCTTTGCTAAGTCTTCGTGGTTCCGATTTGCGCCGATAAGATGGCAGCACTAACAACTTACCTACGAAGATCCGTAGCGGCGCGCGCGCGCGCAGTTGCTTCCTTTTCCGTTTGGATTTGGCGAAGGTTCGTGACACGTTCGTGTGATTTTTATGATATCCACATTTTACGTGCCAATCGTAAGATGCATTGATGTTATATTATTTGTACACGAATTTACAACGAGTGCTTACGCGTCGCAAGTCTTTATAGATTGATTTTTTCAACGACAAATTAACTTTTTATGTTGTAGAACCAAGATGGTGCAACGACTAACCTATCGGCGACGCTTGTCGTACAACACAAAAAGTAACAGGAGACGTGTGTAAGTATTTTATGTTGCAAATAATAGTGCGTTAGTTTTAAACTGGTGTTATTGGCTTCGTGTGGTGAGATTCGTAGGTTCACAATGAGAATTGTAAGTTACGACAAAGTGTGAGGTTATGTTTTGATCAGTCCCGACAAATTCACACGCACTGATTAGAATTCTCATAACTAAAGAGCTTGCACTTTTAAATAACAACACTTCTAGTGGATTGTTCTGTTTTCTGAAATGTTAATTGGTTGGAAATGTTGGATGAAATGTTTATAGTGTACGTACTCCTGGTGGCAAATTAGTCTATCAATATCTTAAGAAGCCCAAGAAGATTCCAAGATGTGGACAGTGTAAAGACAAACTCAGAGGCATCCAACCTGCTAGACCCATGGAGCGATCTCGTATGTGCAGACGCAAAAAGACTGTCAAGCGTGTATACGGCGGAGTACTCTGCCATAAGTGTGTAAAAGAAAGGTATGAATACTTTTTTTTAAATGGCATTTCACAGAAATTCTCAAACTTCGTTATTCTTTGACTAGTTTTATTGATTGGATTAGATTTTCTTAAAAATATTGTTTTGTAATTTTTTTCATTAAGAAATACAAGGAACATTCTATAAACTTTTTATATAATTAAAAAACATGATTTGATATGATTTTTTTTCAGAATTGTACGTGCATTCTTAATTGAAGAACAAAAGATTGTCTATAAAGTTATGAAAGCACAGCAGGCTTCAGCGAAGACGAAAAAAGTGGAGAAATAACTCCGTTACTTTTTATTATACAAAATAAATAATAAAACCCCAAAAAATTAAATTCTGCTGTTTATTGTCATGGTATGTGCCACTCGCTTGTTTTATAATGAAACAAACTGCTTTCTCTCTCACACATACAGTAAGAAAGATACTGTATGACAATGAAAACTTTACATAAATGTTTTTTTCCAAAATACTCAAATACTTTTTAAAAAAATTACATTTCGTTTAAATTGTTAGTTTAAAACGATTTTGAAGTAGCAATCTCGGATAATTTTATTAATTTATCCAGTAGAGAGATAGTGCATTAATGTTTTAATATTTGTTTTGATTTAAGTACAATCATTTTATAATTTATTTACATTTTTACAATTTATATATTTTTCTCATATTTTATGTAGACAGTTAACACAAAAAAAGAGTTTGTATTTGATTTGCTTTTAGTTTTATATCGAGTTCTTACTATTTTACCGACGGTTCATACAACGCGAACTCGAGCAGTCATCAGCTAGTTCCGATCCTTGCCACGTTCCTGTCAGTTCCGATCCTTGCCACGTTCCAGTCAGTTCCGATCGTTGCCGCGTTCCAGTCAGTTCAAATCGTCTGTATTGCCGTGTTTTAACTTGTGCAAAAAAGTATTATCAGCAAATATCAAAACTTTTGCCCGCTGCTCTTCGAAATAGAAGAAAGGACGAAGGAAGGACATTTGAGGTGACCCAAGAAAGAAAGAACCAAGTTTTTCGTGATTTACATCGTATTATATATATATATGTATATATATATATATATATATAAGGTATGTTATTTTTATTATATCTTATGTACATTCAACATCGTCTTGACAACACCATAGGAAAAATGTTTTAGACATGTTCCAAAATTTGTTTTCGACAGTAACTCTTTGCTTGCTTTGTTTTTTGTTTTTTTTTTTTTGCATTTTTTTCTATACAATAAATCGAAGACACACGGAGGCGATTTGCTTAACCAATTTTATTTCTTTTGTCATTGAAAACTCAGCTCGGCGAGTGTATATAAATTATTATTGTTACGTGTATAATGTGTGTACGTATGTGTGTACGTTTGTGTATGTGTGCGCGCCTGTTCAGTGTATGTATAATACATGGGACGGTACCTGTAATATGCTCTTTGCTGGTTTAGCAGAGATTATAATTTTCGTTCTCTTCTTTTTTTTTTTTTTTTTTTTTGAAGCAGGTACTTTGACAGAGTTCACTGCGGAAAGAAAAAGTAAGAAAATAAAAAATAAAAAATCACGCGCTCCTAGTATTTTTTAAAATTAACGCTTAACTAAATATAATATATAATATTTATATATATATATAAATCTATATAGCTGCACACATACAAATTCGATACAACGATCGTATTTATCACTGTAGCTGTACTTCGTTTTTATTATTACTTTTTTACACGACAGAGTTTTTCGAAAAACTCCAAAAGTAAAAAAAAAAGAATTATATTACGCGCGCGTCGTTCTGACCCCATCATATATATCTCTCGCACTAAATAATTAATAGATAACTTACGATAATTAAAACGTTTTGCAATTTAGTCAGATCTCTCTCTCTAAACAATAAATAAGTTCTTCTTTTATTAATAAATAGGTAGTGGTACACAATAAAACGCGAGAGGCGATTCGTCTATTATTATTTTTAATCACATCGTGGTTCTCGCTTCCTCTATCTGTCAGAAAATCAAGGAAAAAAATAGAAAAAAATAAAAAATAAAAATAAACATATCGCAAGAAAAATTGTCGTGCGATTTGAGGCGATTTTGATTGATTTTTTGGACTTTTTCTCCGTTGCTCCTTTCCGTTCGATCTCATCTCTCACGCTCTTGTAATAAAACTTTTATACGAGATAACCGAAATTACACGTACGATCAAAAGTTTTGGAAGTGTGACGCGTATCTTTCTTTCTAAAATAGTTTCTGAAACGGAAAAAACCACAGGACGATCGAGAGTGAGTAAAAAAAAATAAACAAAAAACAAAATAAAAAATAAAAAACGAAAGAAAAATCGGAGAAGTCGTACGATATACTTTCGTTCTTACAAAACTGTATCTGATTTAGTTTTTTTTTTTTGTCTATTTTCTCTGTTTTGCGCCTACACGTATGTCGTGTGTGTATGTGTGATATATTGATAGAGCTCTATATGAAATCTAAATATTTTCGTCGAAATTAACAACATCCTCAAAACTTCAGGTCGCACTCGCAGGTTCGTTTTTGCTAAAACACAGATAGTTATTTAGCTTGAGAGTTTTTTTTTTTTTCTTAAGATTCTCTTTCTCTCGCATGCGGAATCCTGTCCGACTAATTTTATTATTTACTTCAATCGATCGCGGCGCGAAGAATTCGACTCGCGCGCGAGCTCTCTCTGTTCTTCTCGGTCAGGATTTCGCGCGATTTTTCATCTCGCCGTTCTTATACGTTTTTTTTTTTATCGTACGTTTTTTCTTTTGTTTAACTTTTTAATACGAACATTTAGGAAGATAGCGCTATCGATAATTAATATCTTCTGAAATTTGTTAACATTTTCTATATAAAAATCTGCATTTGCGTGTATTCACGTATTGCTTTCTTAATCGTCGCCGTTCTCAATAGCCTTCTTTCTCTCTCACTCTTTCTATTTTTGTTTCTTTCCAAGGGAGATCTAGTCATCGTCGCGTTTGCTTCCCGCGATCGCTCTCTCTGCGTTCTCTCGTTTCTTTCGCGAAACACGGAAGGAAACACGACGAACCGAAAGACACCTATTTTGTAACTTTTACAACGCGCTTCATGTAACTCACACTCGTTACACGCATCATCGCGCAGACAAAATGTATCACAAAGTAGCTGCGCAACGACGAGTTATTGTCGTTTCAAGTTACAAAATAATTGTGCAGAGCGTACTCTCGACGTTCTTAGAACTCTCTTGTCTGTGACAGCTCTCGAAACAGCGTCTCGTTTCACGAGGGAAACAATTGAAACGCGTTTCGAGACGGAAGCAAAACCAATCAATCTCGTCGCTCGCAGGCGCGACTCTCGTCAATTGTTTCTTTTTTTTTTTTTTTGCGATCGGAGGGAGAAGATTTAGTGGCTAGAGAATTGGCTGGTCGCGAAAGAGCTACTGTTCTCCGCTTTGTCGTTGTTCCATTTGGACGCGAAATTTCGCGCGTTCCGCTCTCGTCCGCCGTCATCCGTCGTCGCTTCGACGCGTCGTGTCGACTACATCGCTGTATACAGTGTGTTAGACCGCTAAATTAGAAAATAACACATTTCTCCGCGACTCGCTTCAGAAGTCAGTTTCGCGTAAATTTCACGTGCGCGTAGATTTTGTCTAACCGATTGTACGTTTCTCGAATAAACATCCCGATAACATCCCGTACGTGGTATAAGTCGCGATCCGGAAAGCAATTTTTACAGATAAATGCAGGTGCAACGAGACACACGGTGAAGCAAGCAGCTTTTCTCGTTCGGATTTTTATCTCCTAAAATAAAAAGAGAATTTCTTCTCGTGAAAATACCGCGTACATTGCACAAACGGACGTTGCTCTTCGCAGAGAAACCTCTCGCAATCGGATTGTGAAAATAAAAAATACGATCCACTCGATGGATGTCTCTTGCACCGCATATCTCATACCTCCGACTTTACGTTTTCTTATTTTTCCACGCATTTCCCTCTTCCGACTCTCTACGTTTCTTTTGTCGTCTGCCGGGGAAAGAACGATCAACTTGCAATCGAAGTCGTCTCGATCCTCGTCGAGCAACAACAACATCGCACTCCGGATAGTGTTGATATGTTAATGTATTGCTTGTCGATGAGGGGACACGCTTTGTAATCGTTTATTTCTCTCGACGACGTTCTTGGAGGTACTCGTCGAGCGAGAGATTCCTCTTTTCCGACCGGAAACATTTCTTCGCCGTGCGTTCCATTCTAATCGAAGTGTGTGCCTCGCGTTTCATTACATCAATACAGTATTTATCTTCTATAGAATAATTTCGCGATCGCATACGCTCGTGTGCACACGAATATAGCGCAGGGCTGCGAACCACCACTCGATCCTCATTCACGCTCTCGCACTCGCACGCGCATTCTCTCGTTGTTATTTTTCTCACACATTTGTCTCGCGTCGCACGCAGCTATCTCGCGCTAAAAAGTAAGTGTCTTGCACACTCGCGTTGGCACATGTCCCCGCTTCGTCTGTCTCGTTTCCTTTCGTTATCGCTAATTCAAAGATTACATCTACATAGACCGTCACTCTCGTGTATAAAGTAACGCAAAGGCAAGAACCTTTTTAATTTCGTATCGTCAAGAATTAACATTGTCTCGCTCACTTTGATTCGTTCTCGGTTGTCGAGGCGACGAGGGTGTGTGTACAATAAGTGCAGTGTTATTCGCTACGTTGACTGACGAGTAAGTAATGAAAATCTATGTTGCATCGCGTGCGTCACGCTACATCGACAGAATCTCGAGAACTGTTACGGCCTGTTTATTTATTTATTTTTTTTTTATTTTTTTTTATTTTTTTTATTTTTTTGATACAGTAGTTCGCGATACGGTTTCTCTCTACTATAGTCTAATTGTTTTCTTATTATCAGCGTATTATCGACTGTAACTTTAGTATATACGTGTAGGAAAAAAGCGAGAGGCCGAGAGAGCACAGACGCGTGTTCGAATGACAGTTTTTAGGCCGATATGTAGTTCGTCATTTAAACGTTTCGATACGTATTACATACACTAAAAAATCGAAAGAGTCATTCGGTCAAAAAAAAAAAAAAAAAAAAAAAAAACCGACAAAACGCGCGACAAATGATGAAAAACAGATGATCGAAAAATCTTTACGGAAGTAAATATCGTTTATATACACTGTGTGATTGTTTCTCTGCAAAATTATGCAACGCATATTTGTGTGATTTGACACAGATTTAAATTAACAGAGAAGAGAGCGCTTTCGTTTATCGACAAAATACGATTGAGCACAGGGTTTGTACGGCAGTGATTTCAAAGAAATGGCTCGTTTGTCTCCGTCGTCAGTCTGATCTTACGTATATCGGTATATCAGAGAAACAGGCCTATAGGAAACGAATGACAGGATCGGCGCTCGTTGTGTTCGGGAGTTCCTTATACAATGTGTGTTAAATATTGATCCCGTTGAGTTTTTCTAAAAAAAAAATTAAAAAAAAATCAAAGAATGTCCTGATCCGGACAATGTAAATTATTTGTATTCACGAATTACAGCGATTCCTCACTCGAAAGTTTCGCGGTAACTCAGTAAGTCGTTGTATGTGTGTGATTCGAGATGACGAATACGTGGTCCTCGTACATTTCCTCTCGTTCCGGTCTTCTAGACCGGGAAGTGTAAAACTTGATGAATGTTCAAGTTCTTTTTACGTGGAATGTCTGCAGTGAGTGATTTCGAATTTCTCGGTTGAGAAGTGTGAAACAGCGTTCGCGAGTCGCTTCGGAGATGCCGCGAGGTTCATCTCGCGGTGGGAGGGAGGTCAACTACCGTTGGTACACGTATCTACTCGCGCGAGAAGAGATATTCTCTCGGGAAATATATATCGTCGCTCTGACTAGGTAATCACGAATCCTGGGTGATATATGTGTCGTCTTTTGCTAGACGGACGCGTCGAAGGAGTTGGAATACGTGAGATCCTTGAGGGTGGGGCAAAATTTCCGTGGCGCGATCAGCCGATTTGTCGGCCGATTTGCGTTCGCAGGAATCTGGGAAAACCGATTGACGGACGTTACACGAGGAAACCTTGCGAGGTGGCGGACATTTGCGCTCGTAACGCCGTCACGCTGTTCATTATCTTCTTCTGATGTCCCACAAGCGTGATGCCAAGAGCCGTGAGCTCCTGGACGGTAACGCGCGCCGCCGCTTCCAGCGTCGTCACACCCGCCTGTTCGAAGCTCTCCGCGTATCGCGACATCTTGATGGAGGCGAGCCACTCGCTGACAGAAGTCAATTGCGTTAGATCCACCGCGTCCGGCGCCAGTGGAGTGGTGCCCCTGTCGAGAATAACGCGTTAGCAAAGAATGTTCTTTCGTCAAGTCGAAAACGAGATCTCAGGATTCTTTAGAGTTAGTATTTGGATTGGTCTATCGACACACATTCACATTCGCAAAAGTCCAAATGTATCTTTTGTTAAAAAACATTTGGTTCGTTTGCTATTGACTACATCACAAGTTAACGATATAGAGGCTAAAGAATGAAATAACGAAGATCTCACGCGTATCATTCAGCTTTTATTTATTATATTACAAGAACTTGCGAGAAAACTTGGCAAGAAAGAGCTTAACGAGCTTAACTTGTTTCGTAATATGTCGTTGACATCTTCGTTATTTCAGAGTTATATCAGAGAATGTTGCTCATAAACGGGATTTTGTTTTCCACACATCATCGGAATGATATTCCTAAATGGAATCAGAGTTCAAACACAATCATGATTTACTCCTACAGTGATAATCACACAGATTATTGATCATAAAACGCAACTGTGTGTTTGTTTTACGGTTTTATATACATCGAGGGAGGTATGTATAAATGTTTACAGATACGATATATGTGGTTGTATGTACACATAGTGCAATTGCAAGAGGCAATTTTGTATATACAGAAATTATTGTATATCGATTGGTTGGGGATATAAAAAAGGGGATATTTTATCACAACTCGTAATGGATTCTAGAGTGGATTTGATAAAATCTGCAAGAAACTCCAAAGACTAAAAGTATACATGTGGTTTATTTGACAAGTTTCTGAGGGCATAATGTATAAAACATATATGTAATAAAAACGTATAATCTTAACACACCTACGTGTAAAAAAATCGCTATTCAAATATATACACACTTGGAGTGGAGGTTTCCTAAACAATATCCTGCAAAAAATACATTTCCTATACATACATCACGCGAACGATCTTGTACGAAAAAGTTTATAAATTATACGAGTGTATAGTTTGAAAAATAAAATAGCCAATTTTTTAAAATTATTATAATAACAATCAATTGGCTTTGTGCATCTTTTTCTTTTGTACAAACGTTATGTACACACTTAGGATACGTGGATGTGCAAGCGTGAGATTCGTCTCGATAATAAGCAAAATGTAAGCACTAAGAATAAAAAATTAAACTAGTCTTAATAATGATATTCTATTAATAATAAGAAATATCATGATAGAGCAGTGGAAAATATACAATGTAAACTAACAATATAAATAATAATACATGTGTAATGGTAAACAATAGTCTCAATAAATAATACACAAATGGACGTGATACAAACAATAATGCTAATAATGATACAAACAGTGATAGTGACGACAGTAATGAGAATAATGATAGGCCAATCGCTAACAATGGTATTGTTGACGAGCGTAAAATGTATCATATGTAACGTGTTAGTGGGTACATAGTTTATATCAGGGGGTCGTATGTACACGTGAGTGGATTACGGTGCGTGATGAAGACAAGCAGAGTGCGACACAAACTAAGACTGGTTATACCAAGCGGGGAGGAGATTGCTGTCTACGTATAGCGGCAATATTTCATTATATCGCGTCAAAGAAGCAGAGAGAACGTGAAAGCACAGTCAACGTGTAATCGAATCGTCGAAACGCGTTCTAGAACTCTCGGTAATTCTCCGTGTTATCTAGGGCATCAAATACAGAAAACAGAAATGATTGCGCTCTTTGTTCCTCCGCTTCTTTTTCTCTCTCGCTCGAAAAAAGGGATAGAAATAGGGGGAGGGAATTTTCGATGCGGGGGAATGCCGCGTGATTGAGATTTTTCGTTTTTGCTTTTTCTTTACCTGTTCCTCAAATGCACGTTGGAAGATGCCGACGAGGCGGGTGGGGGTGGGGGTGGAGCACCCCTTTCTCTGATTCTGACAATTGTTAGCATTTGTTAGTGCAATGGAGGTCATACTAGGTGTGTGTTACATTATCTGCGGACTTTTTTAGTTTCTCGTTTTATTTCGACGCTTTGATTCTAAAATTTTTTCATCTTTTCCCTTTACCGTTCGAGCTTTGTTTGTGTGATACGTAAACAATTGCGTAATTTTGAAGAAATGCTTAAAAGAAAGAGAAATAAATAGAAAAGTTTGCGTAATTAGTTCTTAAACGTATTGAAAAATTTAAGCGAGAATTGTTTTCTATTAGTGAACTAAAACAGATGCTCACCTCCGCTTTTTAAACGTTTATTGCGAAAAGAACTTCAGAATTTTGCAACCAATATAAGATCCAAATAAATCTTTTCTTTCTAAATGGCATGTCGAGACGCTTCTCTATCATATTCTCTGGAAATATCTTAGAAGTTATTGCTGTGATTTATGGTCGATTCAACGTTGCGGAAACGCATCGTGCAATTTATATATATATATATATATATATCGCCGTTTTCTTGTTTTCATTATTCTTATTATTTTTTTTTTTTTTCATTATATATTACGTATAAAAATACTATTCTAAACTGGTCAACCGATTGCACGCGAGCTGTATATATGCTAATAAGTCTTGGCAGTTTTGTTGAGATAGAATCGATGCCTTTGATAAATATTATATAAACTTATGTTAACTTCACGTAAACGGTAGTATATGTATCATAGATCTGTTCTTTTTTTTTTTTTTTTTTTTTTTAACTATGGATGCTTTGAGCAATTTGCAGATGATTGTTTTTTTTTCTTTTTTGTTTATCGAAAACTTTGTCTTGTTGATTTTAAAACTTGGAAAGAATTCGAAATAGGTACGCATCTTCTTTGTCGTTCGGTTTTTGTACGTCTACTGTGTCCATAAAGAGTATATATATCCGCTAATGTTAAAAATTACGTAAACATCTGAAAGACTCTACTTGCTCTTATGCAATGTCGTGTGTATGTGTGTGTTACTGCTCTCACCACACTTAATTCTCATTAATCTTCAAGCTCTCAGAAACACGTATAACCTACATTATTGCTATTCGATGATTAAAACTGTCTCATCTCTCTATATAAAATTTGGAAATACTCAAACTCTTGATTTATATCTCGTTTCGGTAATGTTAATCGTTAATATACACTCTAATGTTTTCTACTGTTAAGATTTATTGCTTCAGCTAATGCAACGTAGAAATTCTCTCTGTAATATTCTAACGTGTTATATCGCTACGTATATTTGCCGATAATTCATAGTAAAAACCTGTATATAGATTTCTTTCACGACGGTTCTACTCTTGTACATACGGTCTATAGCGCTTCGATAATATCCTACTGCGTGGCTGCGCCTTTTCACCTACATTTGTCACATCTATACTATTCCATCCAATATAACTTGGATTATATTTTTTCTCTCTACTATATATCCTCTTTTGTTTCTATATATAATATATATATATATATATATGTACTATTTCGCTGAAAGAGCGTCTACAATTTCCTACGACTAGCGCGACCGTAAAATGTAAGATTTTCTTAACGATACGTGAGAATGCAGTCTTTTGAGATTACGTCCGGTTCGAATTGCTAGGCGTTAATTGTGAGATTGGGCTTAAGAAAGACGGGCGGAAATGTGATGTTTTTAATGATGCTCGTTAATTTTTTATCTGAATTTCAAGCGAAACCCCCTCCCTTCAGCCAAAATGGGAGAACGGGACCCAATTGGGATAGGTGAGCGGCGGCTGTTGGTGTGGCAGTGCGTGTGTCGCTGCGTGTGTGTGATAGTGTAAGCTACGGCCGGCTCCTGGTGGCATTACTGGAACGGCAATCGCTGACTGGGCCTGTTGATGGGCCTGATGGCCGACTACGTCTACGAACGGGCCCGCCGTGCTGGCGGCTGGGCCTGGTGGCATCGCAGCCGCCGCCGCCGCCGCTGCTGCGGCCGCTGCTGCCGCGGCCTGAGCGGCAGCCGTGTGGCAAGTGACATAGTACGGATTATGTGCAGGCGGCCTCACGCTGTAGGTGACGACGGTTGTTGTAGTGGTAGTTGTTGTTGTGGACGATATAGTTGTCGCAGTTGCGTTGCAGTTGCGGTAGTTCGTAGTCAGGTACCAAAGGACACCACAAAACCAAAAGCATAAAGAATTAGCCCAGGGAAAAAGAGGCGGCTCGAAAGAATAGGAGAGAGAGAAACCGACGAGACTTCCAAATGCGAATATTGCGCGCCCCATTGGCGTTGAAATAAATGCGAAAAATAAACTCAACAAAAATAAACAATATAAATAGTTTCGTCGTTATAAAGTTTTGTCCAACGGTATATGTTCGAGAAAAACACCAGGACTTACTCAATTTTGCTGCAAATTTCGACTAACATACACAATTACGAAAAATTATAAATCAACTTTCGCTACGGATTTATCTCACACGGATATTTTATATACGAATTTTTACTTGATCGCTGCGAAACTTAAAAATTTTGTTTTCGAAATCTTTGTCAAAGAAAACCAGCAACGCTAAGTTAGATCCTGTTGCATAGCTGTATATCTGATAATAACTGCGTGAAATACAAACTATAGACTCAAAGAAGTACAGAAACAATATAAGCAGCGAAAGCAATTACAAGCTCTGTTAAAATCGTCGTATATATGGCGTGATCTCAATTACAGTAACGCGGAAAAAAAATATCCTAGCTGAAATCTCATATAGACTTTCGTCCATAAATTAATTTTTCCGACGCTAAAAAAACTCGCTCAGCCAAGTATGTTCAAGCACAAAATATATGAAAACGTGACTCTTCAACACGAAGATATCAAGATTTCGAAGCGTCAGGACATCGTGTGAAAGTGTGCGCTACTGCGAGAAGGAAAATAGGGAGGTTGGGACTTTTGAGGTAAATCGAATGATTTACTTTTTGCACAATTTCCTCCTCTTTCGCAGTGGAAGTGAATTTTGGCGGCTATTCAGGAAATTATAAGAAAATATTTAGAAAGATTTTGAAAAGAATAACAAAAAAAGATGAAAAAAAAAAAAAAAAAAAACTAAAATAGGAAAGACATAAATAAAAGCAAGTGCAAATAACGACAGTCCAGTACGTGTACGTCCGCTTCCAGTAANAAAAAAATATTTAAAAAGATTTAAAAAAAAAAAAAAAAAGAAAAAAAAAAAAAAAAAAAAAAAAAACTAAAATAGGAAAGACATAAATAAAAGCAAGTGCAAATAACGACAGTCCAGTACGTGTACGTCCGCTTCCAGTAATGCCAATCAGGTCAAGGGAATCACGGCGACGCGTGCATAAAAGTTATGCACACACGGCTTTCATTTTTTGAGCATATACACATATGTACGGCACGTCACATACGTGTGTACGATTGTGTGCTTGTGCGGAGCGCCATACATCAATGAGCCACAATGTCAAAGCCCATTCCAAATAGCGTAGAACGGATATGGCACGATCCGCGTGAGCGTTTCGGCGAATGAATGAAAACAAATATGAGCTGTCGAGAAAAATTAATTTATGGACACGATAGATATGTATATATATATATATATCACGTAGCATGCGGTGTGATTTTGATTAATATACATAATGAACGAGCGATGATTCAACAAAAAGAAGAAAAAAAAATAGAACGTTAATAATGGCAATGAGAGAATGAACAATTATTTGCGAACGTGCGCTCGAAGCACCTGAAGCAAACTTCATTCGCTGTGTGCTGATTATTATACTTAACGCCATTCCGTCGTATCTTGCTTGAGATTTAGACGATGAAGATTATCCGCTAGATACTCGAAATACGCGAGATACTGATTTCTCCTATCACCGTTCTAACAATTATATCGATCCTCTGAGAGGACTGTTTCGCAATCCTATCACGTATCAGCATTTGGCGATTAACGATCGAATGGAACAACATCAAGTGAGTGCTTTTACCTGTTCTGAGCGATTTTTCTAAGCGTGTCCGGGCTTCGTATCAGCTTGTCCAGAGTCTGCGTGAGATTGGCGAAGGTCGGTCGGTGAGTACGCTCCTTCTGCCAACAGTCGAGCATCAGTTGGTAGATAGCTTCCGGACAGTCCATCGGCGCCGGAAGCCTGTAGCCCTTTTCGATTGACTTTATCACATCTTGATTCGACCAGTTCCAATACGGCCTCTCGCCGTACGACATCACCTCCCAGCAGACGATGCCCATGCTCCAGACGTCAGAGGCGCTTGTGAATTTACGGAACGCTATCGCCTCCGGTGCCGTCCACCGTACCGGGATTTTGCCGCCCTGGACATAAAAAATGGCAGATAATCCGTCGATTATCGAACGGAATTACGGACAATGGGTATTGTTCGGATTGATTTTGAACTCGAATCTGTCGCTCACCCTGGTCGTGTAAGCTCCCTCCGTGGCGCTTTCGATCTCTCTACTGAGTCCGAAGTCAGCGATCTTGCAAACCAGAGCAGCGTTGACTAACACGTTCCGCGCGGCGAGATCGCGGTGAACGTAATTCATCTCCGCGAGATACTGCATGCCGCTCGCGATGCCGCGCAACATGCCCACCAGTTGCAACACCTGGAACTTGCCGTCGTTCGCGCGCAGAAAAGTGTCCAGACTGCCGTTTTCCATGAACTCCGTGATGATCATCACCGGATTGCTCTTCGTCACCACGCCCTGCAGGAATATCACGTTCGGATGCTCGAACTGGCCCATTATCGACGCCTCCGTCAGGAAATCGTTACGAGCCTTGTCCGCGGAGCCCGGCTTCAATGTTTTTATTGCCACATCTATTTCCGTCCGTCCGTCGGGTGGCAATTTCAACTTCCCTCGGCAGACGTCGCCGAATTCTCCACCACCTGTGACCGTAATCATCAAGAATACAATCAAGTTTCACATCAAAACCACAGTTCGTTGCGTCGTTATATTTTTTCGGGGATAATAAAGAAAAATCCGTACCTATGATGGCCTCTATCGTGATGTATCCGGCGTCGATCTCACGTGCGAATTCCCGTACAGCCTGATTCGGGTCCTCGTAAGTGTGAGGATCCACATAACTCCTTGCACCTGCACCGCCAGCGCCGCCTGCGCCCGCCGCGGCGACCCCCACTGCAGGTGTGAACAGCGGCGTGGTCACTGCAACGTCACGAAAACAGAGTTCATTATATTAACACGAGGGCCGGTGGTGCGAAATTTTGACAGTAATTTTCGACCGCGCGTCTCAACACACTCGCTCTATCGCTCGGCCAACCGTGTCAAATCCGCAAAATAAAAAAAAAAAAAGAAGAAAAAAAGAAGAAAACACTCACACAATCTCTCTCGTGTCGACGAGTTAAAAATTTTCAGTATAACAAAACAAGACAAAACAACCAAGAAAGCCAAACGCAGGTGGATTCTAAAATATATATCTCTCCTCTTTTTTTTTTTTTTTTTTATTCCCACTTCTAACGAAAGAATTATCCTTTTACTTGTCTGTGTTTTATCTATATCTCATAGAATCTGTTCTGTTTTAATGTTCGAACGGTGTCTATGTATGCTAGAAAGAATTCGCGCATATAGCCAATCCAACGCATGCCAACGCACATCCTCTCTCCTCGCATGCGCTCGCGAATTGTCTCTGAGAATCATTGCGATGCATTTGAAAAAAGTTCAGCAATCAACACCGCTCGTTCTGCCGGATGTTACAGTCGATTCAAACAGTTTGTCTTCAATGCGTTTTTCTGGCGCGCGCTATTTTTCTCGCTCGAAAGTTAACTCTTTTTTTTTTTTTTTTAAATAAATCTCTGTATTTGAATCGTCGCAGAACATCCGAGCACTGCATTTCGCATTACACAGTGGTAGAAGAAGAAAAGCGATCGCAAAGCACGATCACCTAAAGACAAAAACAAAAAAAAATAAAAATAAAAAAAAAAAAAACTAAAAGGTATCAAACTAAAATACAAGAACATGATGCAATTGCGTGCAAAACACGGGGCCGCGCGCCATGCTTTTATCACTCGCGAACTTTTCATCCATATCGCATATCTAGGACAGTGAAGAAAGAAAAGAATGGAGCGTAGCGTAACTAAAGCGAAACTATACCAAATACGTGGAGAGCTCGGTGTGTGAGTGTACGGGTGTGCTGCGTTGTCATGTTTTTTTTTAGCATATACACGTCGTGTCCGCGATTTCTTTCTCGGTCGCAAAAAAATTTTTGGTCGGAAAAATTGGGGGAAGCAAAGGACTTACGCGAGGACTCGCTCTTGTTGTTGGTATGGGTTGTCACAATCGGTGAACTGTCCATTTTGCAGTGCACTGTGAACAACACAACAACCAACACACTCATTGACAAACAGCAAAACAAAAAGAAGCGACGGGTGTTTTAATGATGATGGTTTTTTTTTTTTTTTTTTTTTTTTTTTTGTAATGACGTACGTAAAAAAGCGAGGAACTTTTTAAAAAGTATTCTCGGCTCGATCACAAAATGGGTGGCCGCGTGTAATTAAACGGGAAAATATGACTGCGTACCCGACGATGAAATGATTTTATATACTATATCAAAACATCAAACACTAAGTTCAAAAGATACGCTTTTAACGCGTTGATTTGGAATTTTTTTTCACGTCGTTTGTTTTTTCTCCGATTTGCGTCGCGAATAAATTTCAGAAAAAAAGCACATTCAGTAACACACACTGATAAATGATACACATGCAAGTAAGATGATGATACAAACAATGCAATGCAACATACGCAAGCACAATGCGTGAGCACGCACAAAGTGTTGTCTACGAAAGTTATTTAGAACAGTATCGTGCAAAATTTTTTCCACGTGTGTATTTGACATGTTCGTGTGTGTGTGTGCGTGTGTATGTGTACGTTTAATGTGTGTGCGTGTGTTTGGAAGCGTAAAGAGTTTCGATTTAGACTGAATAGTGTGTGATGCATGTACCAGGGGTTGCAAAAATAATCTACACAAAATTGAGTTCCTAGAAAACAAAACTTGAGGTGTTTGGAGAAGACTTACTGTAGGTCACAACTAGTCCTGTAGTAGCAGGCGATTGTGTACATTGTTTCATTGGGTTTTTTCATGGATTTTTCATGGAGGCAGGTTCGATAGATTAGGGGAATCGCACATGAAAAGAAAGAATCGAAAGAATTTGGTTAGAATAATGGCATTCAGGCGGCGGGGCCAGATTAGTTGTGAGTTTTGGATTTTTTCGTTTTTTTGGTTTTTTTTTTTTTTTTGAAAGCGATCGTTTCTCTTTCATTATTGTCCCTTTGTCGCGGACAGTATTTTCAGAGTCCGACTGCTTTCTCTCTTCGCACATTTCTCTCTACGGTGTTACAAAAAAAAAAAACGTTTAGCTATCTCTCTTTTCCTCTTTCACTCTCATCCGCAAAACAAATCTCTACGACACTGAAGGGGAAATGTTCAACGCATTATCTGTCTGTATACGAGGTATAGTTTCGATACTTGCTGGAACTAAGGGGGCGGGGGGGGGGAGGGCAGTGATTCCAATATTAGTCACAAGACACGAGGGCGCAATGAAACAATTATGAAAGTGACAGTAGTGGGGGGATGTAGTAGCGAGATAAGTGAATTCTTCAACAATAGAAACTCTCTAGGCAAAATACGAACGTACCTTCGCCGTTTCTGTACTCCAGGGTGTCGCAGTCGCTGGGTTGCTTCTTGTTGCACTCGTCTGAGCCCCTGCTGCAACGAAATCGCATGATATCAAGTGGACCGAGAGGAGATCGAAAAGAAACGACTTTATCGCGCGCGTCGAAAAACGTTAATAATTTGCATTTGGTTTATTTTCGAATTGTCAAACAAAAATAGAAAATGCGTTATCCGAATATGTTTGTATTGCAAACAATTCAATTACCTTCTGAGGAACAGAACGGCCATGATTATAATAATCACGAGGAGCACGACCACAGCGACGACCGCCCCTGCGATTATCCTAACTCGCAGGTTGTCATCCGCGCCGACGTAGTCTGCGTGTAAAACGCTCACATTAGAAGGCACGAGATAACGTAAGAGAATTGCGAAATGCGAACGCCGCTCACTTGCGGCGTTTGCTTACCTAGACCCATCACGTGGGGTGTCTTCTTAAATACCACCGGCGTGTATTCGCCCCAGCCGCGGGTGGTCTTGGCGCGAACCTGTATCGCGTAATCCGTGGAAGGCTTGAGACCTTTGAACGTGGCGGACAGTTCGGACGTTTGAATGACGGTTGCATTAGTGGCGTCGTCGTAGCGCGGGTAACACCTCACTGTATCAGATATCGAGACGATTATTAATCCCGTCGCGCACGATCGAGCGACAATTTCGAATTGATCTCATCGCGCACTGGCGTAGCACTAACTACAAGAGACTGTAGCTTTTATTGTAAAATAGCTGTTTTTTTTTTTTTTACCTTCGTATTTCTCGACGAGATCGTTCTTGTCACCGCCGACTTCGATGACCGGCGCGTCCCAGCTGATACTGAGCTCCGAGCTCTTGACGCTCGTGATTCGGACGTTGCTCACCAGACTGGGCACGCTCGCCTCCGTCGTGACGGTGATGTCCACGTATTCCGACTTGCCGACCAGCGACGACACGCCGTTCTCGGCGAACACTTGGAAGCGATAAGTGGTCACCGCGTTCAAACCGGTTATCGTGATCTTCGTGTCATTGAAGATTTCCTGCGTGAAATAAAAAAAAAACAAAACGATTTCGCGTGAAGTTTCTTTATAATCGAGGAATAATTAGTCTATCACGTAATGTTATCGGTAATCCTTGCGTATGTAGGGCGCCGTAGAAAACTCACGGTGTTGGGAATGTATTTGACGCCCATGCTGCAGGCGTCGCAGACCACTCGGTAAGTCGTGTCGGACCTGCCACCCTGCATATGCGGCGCGTTCCAGGAAAGGATCACCGTCGACTGATCGACAAAGTTGACGGTCAGGTTTTGTGGCGCCGAAGGAGGTTCTGCAAGAAGTATACTCTGTTTGAGATTTTTGCGCGGAACGCGTTTCATCTACCGAATTCTCTACGTTTCGCGCTTGTGCGCGTTTGATGCTGAATAAATTATTACCTTTATCAAATAATTTTCATTCCGTATATAGATCTAAATTACAAAATTTAACATATTTTTTTAATAATTTCCGCAAGACCTCGATTAATTACTCGAGCGCGATTATTCGTAAATTTGAAAAAAATTCCAAACTCGGTTCTCTTTCCAATACTTCTCGTTTTCTAATTTCCTTGTTTTAATAAGCACGTGACACTCGAACAATCCGGGAACGATATTAGCTCGAAATCCTCCTAATGAGAAACAAAAAACAACACGAATATCTTGCAAAAGAAAATTTTTTTCACTCACGTGTACAAGGCATTTTCTTGGGATCCTTTTCCGCCCGATAATAACCCGGGTCGCAGCGACATTCGGTGAAGGCGTAATCGGAGGCTTTGCTGTGCTCCGGACACGGTTCGCACGCGTGAGAGCCGGCGTCGTGTTTGAATTTACCTATCGGGCACTCCTTGCACTCCTGCTTATCTATGTCGGCTTGATAGCCGGGCTTGCAATGACATCCGCCCGACGAAAGGTACCACTTGCCGTCACCCTTGCAGAGGAAGGTCGGCTCCTGGATCTTGACGGCGTTCGCGACGCAAGTGCCGATCGTTTGTTCGATCACCGTGACCTCCTTGCCGGTCGGCGTAGCCGGAAAATGGGCGAAGTTCACCGAGATCTCGGGACAGCTGATGTAATACACCTTGATGGCGAGAATCGATATGCACGCGCCCTGATCGCGAAACGCGAAGTAAACGCCTTTTTTCGTTACCGGAATCGACTTCACTTCCGTGTTTATCACCACCTCGGCGTTCGTGTTGAACCTTCCCTCGCCCGCGGCGATGCGACCTAATATGAAAGATCGTTCCATTGACTTAAAATATTTGTCCTAAATACTGAAAAACTGACGCGAGTTGAGGAGAAATTTATTACAGAATAATACGCGGAACGTATATTAGAAAAACTTTCATTTTCTGTTTTTTTAATATTTTCTCTCAAACAAATTATTTTTACGTTTTTTTTTTAACAAAAACGAGCTTTAGAAAGTAAAGCTCCTTGTGAGATAATCTTTCGATCTCGCACTTTATTACATCACCCACTCACCGATAAGCTTATAACTCTCGGGCTCCCACGGAGGCGGCTCCTTGGTGGCGGCGTCGAACTCGTAATAGAGCAGACTGAAGGTCTCCTTGCAACTGAGCGCGTTCCCGGGAAATAGCGAGCAGTCGCGGGTCGTGAATTTGATTTCTATGTACATGCGGTTCGCCGGGCCCCTCTCGATGAACGGCGTCCACAGCCAGTTGTTCACGTTGTTGTACGCCACGTCGCAAACAACGTAACTCCGCCAATTTATTCCCTTGTCGAAATTCGTGAAGGATTCCTCGACCCACTGCAACAACACGAAGAACACAAAGAACAAAAATGAGAAACCGGTTAATGTTTCAGGAAAAGATCTCTTCTTTCTTCTCGCCAACTTTTGTTAAGTGAGAGTCTAATGATGTGACCTGTTAGCTTCCCTCCCGAGCAGTTTAGAAAAAGTTTTCTTTGAAAAATATCCCAGAGAAAGTGATTATGTGTGTCCCGTTACGCCAGTGAAAATTTTGTTATTCTGACCCAATTTTCTCTGGTGTTACCATCAACCGTGACAAAAGCAAGAAAGCACCACCCGTCGTCATTGTCGTCGTCGGTCGACATCGAGCGACCGTAGAATCCACCCTCGGTAAATGACGAGGCGGAGAAGACCGGGTCGTCGACTTGCGACAAACAGACCGCAAGGAATTACCGGCGCGCGTTACCATTAGTTTTATTGCCCCCCTCAGTTCTCTCGGGCTCGTCCCGAGTGCGACCGCAAAAAGTTCCGACCGGAGCAAGAAGGATCCATCGTCGTCGTCGTCGTCGTCGTCGTCGTCGTCGTCGTCGTTGTTGTCGTCGTCGTCGTCGTCGTCCTTGTCGTCTTCGTCACCGAAATCTTCCCTCTCTCTTTCTCTCTTTTTCCTATATCTTTATATCCTTTCTTTCTTTCTACATTCGCCTCTACTCTCCTCGTCTCTCACTTTTACGCGCTTCTCAGCTCTTGCGTATTTCATACTCGGACCAGGAAAGACTCGGCAGGTAAGGAGTGACAAAAAACGGGTAGAACCGAGGCGGAGAGGCCCGTGCGCGTGTGCAACACTGTATGTGAGCCTCTTATCCAGAAGATTTCCTCGCGGACGTGTTTCCGGCAGGCGGGCTGCAATAAATTCAGCCGCGCCGGCTACCCGGTTGCAAAAGGGAGATTATTACGGGGACGATGACGAGGTCGAAAAAATTTCATTAAAGCACTGCCGGCGAAAAAAAGCTTTTTCAGCGAGACTGCGCGCGGAGCAGCCGAAAGAGTAGCCGGGACTCTGGAGGAACAGTGTTCGCAATTCGCCGTCGTTCGCGCATCGAATTACGATCCCCCTTCGCACGCCTCCGATCGCAATTAATAGTTTTTAGCGGGATTCGCGAAACTGGATTTTCGCCTGCTCTTAAATGCAACCGCCGCGCTTCGTGTGTGCTTTCTTTTGCGGCAAAATGTATCTCCTCTACATTCTCGTTTCGCGAGTTTAATTAAATTAAAATAAATTAACGCATGTGCGAGAAGCATTGTTACGTTAATTAAATATCAAATATCTATATAATGTTAAATAAAATATACTTTCAAAAAATAGAAAAAAATATACAGAACCAATAAAAATATAAATCGCACATTTTTGTGTGAAACATGACGCGAAAATACAAAAACTCAGATCTATTTCGCGCTTTCTATTCCGCGTCTAGCGCAAGTTTTTGTTTTTGTTTTCTATTTTTCTGCCAATCAATATTCATATCCCGTTCAAGAATTAGTAGAGAAACGAGAAAATGCACTACCAGCGCCGCGTGTTTATTTCGACGCCTCCGCCGAGGTTCTTTATCGTCTGGGAAATTTCATTAGTACGGTAAAATTCATCTTCCTTTTCGCGCTTGGCGCTCCATGGTCGTGTCTATGCCCGCTGCTTTTATCCCGCTGCAAGCTTGCAGCGGGGAAAAAGGCGGCGGAGAGACGCGCGCGCGTCGTTAACGCCGCGCGGCATTTAATTGGATCGCGCCGAGAGTCGTCCTCTTTTTAACGCGACGCGTCGATTTTTCGGCGAGACGGATTTCCCACCCGGCGTGACCGCCCGTGAAATTACTCATCGGAAGAAGAGAGAGAGAGAGAGAGAAAGAAAAAAAAGACGATTAACCGCTGCCATATCTCATTGCGATCTCACAGCGTCGTCGTTTCCGCCACTCGTGCACGCACAGATGCAAGACGTATTTTTCTCGTGCCGATATTACGGTTGGAAATCCGCTCCTTGTGTCGCGCGAGGTTGGCTTAATTAAATTATTTTATTTAATAATTCCGCTCTTGATTAATTAATTAAGTTTTTTAAACGAGTTAGTATTAGAACAGTTTATTTTAGATGGAAAAATGTGTAATGTGAAAAAAAAACTTGCAAATTATTTTAAATCGTCGCGACTGAACCGGATCTGATTAATTCTCTTCGCGCAATTTCCAACGACGAAGTTCTAGTTCCGTACAAGTTAGAGTCCGTACAAGTGTTCGACATAATATCAGCGACAATGGAAATATCATTGGATCAGTGGAATAGCGCAAGTAGATTTTTTTTTTCTCGCTTGCAATCGTCCATTGAATGTAGCAAAGAGATCTTTTTGGCGCATCACGATCGACCGATGATCGTTTGATGATTCGAAAACTGTGCCGCGGTTAGCGTCTCGGTGGTCGGGTATCGATCGCACATTCCTACGCCTCGCCGCAGCAGGTAGATCTGTCTCGCTATTCTTTCCGCACAGGCGACGACGAAGGGTATAGAATGAAGGGTAGCACGTGCGAACCGTTGTTAGTTTATTTTTTTTTTTACTCTTTGGTTTCCCGTGAGGGGTTAGAAACACGATGCCGCAAAAGAAGACGGTATAAATCACGAAGCCCGAATTAAGGCATATTACACTCGAATCCTGCTATTTTCCGTATTTTTGAAGTAAAATAAAAATAAAACTTTCCGATGTCTCTGTTCTGCGGGCCGTGTAATCCTTTGTTGTGGGATACAAAACTTTTACGGCATAACCCGACGTCCCGGCGGATTCTTATTACTCCGCAAACCAGCTATTTGTCTTGTTCCTTCACGGTTAGACATCTGTAATCCGTCCCGGAGAAAAGGGCCCACGGACAAAAGGTATAGCAAAATTTGGGAGTCATATGGTCGGCGGTGGCCGTGGCTACCTGGACGAGGAGCCACCCCGGAGCGCGCGCTCGCTTCTGTTCCTTTCGCCGAGGAAAAAGAAAACCATCATTCGCCGCCCATGGCTTTTCTCGCGGATCACAGCACGGCAGTAAATAGATACGAGTCGATGGCTCAGAAGTAAAGCCAATAAGCTCAGAGCGCGCGCTTCGGGATAAACAGAAAAAGAGAAAAAAGAAGAACGAAAGATAGAAGTAGGATGCTGCCGCTGCCACCCTCCGGATGGGGAAACTGCCCTCCGTGGCAGTAATATCGCCACCATAATCGCAATTCCGACGGCGTAGTCTCGGATAGGGAGGTTAGCGGGAAGTCTGTACGAAGACTTTCACGCGAGGGATGAGAGAGAGAGAGAAAGGGGAGGACGTTACGAACTTTTAGTCCGAGGGGTTCGCGGATCTTAATATATATTGAGCTCTTCTCGTATACCGGGGGTTAACCCTCGCCCTTGGGGTGAGGTTGCATCGACAGGCACGTAGGGGCTGATTCTTCTCTTCGTCGAGCTACGTGCATTCGGACCGCTCGCTCTTTTCTCTCACGACGGACACGTACCGCATCCAGACGCGATCGAACTTGTGTCCCTCCTTTCTTCTCCCCTTGTTCTTACCGTCACTTAGCCGACACCTTGGCAGAATCGACGCTAATTGCGATCGCAATAAAATTACGTCGCGTAGAAAATTATTAGAAAATTAAATTTAACATAATGTAAAGTGATTTTAATTAACGCGTGTATTAATAATACACGTTGCAGCGTATATTAATGTTATGTATATAAATAATATTCAATTGTAAATATTATATTATCACACAATCAATATTGTGTTGTGTACGCGAGGAAAATAAATTTATTCTTAATATCCCATTTAACCTTGTTCTTCGCATCCGCGGATGTGGAGGCAACGACGTGAGAAAAAAGTCGATTACCATTTTTGGAAAATACGTAAAGAGGCAAATTTAATGAGCGTCCCGTCATTACACCCTCTTTCTCTCTCTCTCTCTTATAGGAAGTTCATTAACTCGTGGAATGGTGGGTGGCCGTTTTAAACACAATGGTACAGATATCGTCCGCGATACAATGCAGCGTCCCGGACGAGGGTGGCTCGTCGTCCGTTACGGGCGAACAAGTGCACATATGTGTGTCCCCGGGCAGGGCGGCCATCCCTCCGGACGGACACGGCGTAAAGCAGGCGGAGGACGTTGGTTACGCCACGCGCCAATCGAAAACTTTATGTAACCGTTTATTCCGCGCACCCCAAAATCCGATATAACCGTATTTCGGGGGCGAAAGATTGGCCAGGAAGGCCGTTTAAGGAGGCATTTCCACGACTCCTCGGCACTTAACCGAGATTTCCCTTCCTCTTTCTAGCTTTCGTAGAAACGCATACGCGAATATATACGCGTGTATGTATGCGCGCGCGAAAGAAGGGTGGAAAAGATCGTCGGTGAAAATAAGGATCTCGGGAGGGAGAGAAGGTGTCGGATGAGAATTTATTTCTGGATTATTTCCCAGGGTCGGAGGGAAATGCCGCGTGGGTTGGGGCATCTTCCTTCCGAGAAAAGGACAAATCGTTCTCCACCGCGGGATCGAAACGCTGCGTCCGGGAGAAGCAATTTCCAACCCGCGAGATTTACGACGCGAAGATCAACTCCCTCTCGCCTCTCTCACGCGCGAGGAATCGCGCGAAATTCGGCTATCCGACGCCCGATGTTTCTATTTGCCACGCCGGGACGAAATTGTATCGGGAGGGGGAGGAAGAAATGGTAACGTCTCTCTCTCTCTCTCTCTCCTGCTTCGTGAGGAAATTTTATCTGTGACGCAAAAAAAGTTCTCAACGACAAAAAGTCACTCTCTTGATACACAGGCAATGACTGAGAAAAAAAAAAACATCTGTTGGCAATTCTAAATTTACATCATCGGGCGCGCGTATTTTCCGTGAGAATTCGCATAATCGTCTGTCGCGTATCGAGTCGCGAATGTGTTTACAGAAAGAGAACGAGATTATAATACTTAATGAGCGGGCGTTATGCCAGCTTCATTAAGATCCTCGCCGTGCCAAGAGTTTTTTTTTTTTTTTTTTTTTTTCCAACATCC